ATGGCTCGAGCTGCGGTTATTCCGGCGGTGTCGCCGCAGCGCGCGACGCGTACGGCCAAGCGAACTACTACTACTACTACTGCTAGCAGGGCTGCGGCGAAGACGACGAAGGCGAAGGCACCCTCTTCTGCTACGGAGGGGAGGAAGCGGACTGCCCGGGCGAATCTGTCGTCTTTGAGTAAAGCAGCTGAGGATGGTTCGGATGAGGATACTGACGATGAGCTGGGGGTCATGAATACGATGAAATCCGCGACAACGAAAGCCAGAGGCAGGCCTGCTGGATCGACTACTGCTGCTACGGGTCGTGGTCGGAAGCCTACTACCACTGCGTCTGTTAGGTCAGGGACTGTGGGTGAGAATGAGGATGGTGAAGCACATGCAGATGGACAGAAGAAGCGGGCCGGAAGACCAAGGACGAAACCGGCGACTGAGACGGAATCTGCGACTGCTGCTCCCAAGCAGAGAGGTAGACCGAAGGGGTCGACGAATGCGAAGTCAACCGCTGCGGCTGCTGATGCTCATAAGAAGGCCCGCGTCCTGGCTGCTGAGGATGCAGTGTCTCAACAAGGACCGAAGGAGGTGACCATAACGACCAATTCTACGCTTATGAGATCGAATCTCTTGCGAGGCCCGGCGAAGAAGAAGACGGTGACCTTTAAGGATGTCTCAGACTCGGACGACTTCAGCGAACCATCGCCTCCACCACCGGCAGGCAGAAGACGGCCAGCTGGCCTTGCGGCGAAGCCTGCTCGAAAGGGTACTCCGGCTAAAGGTCGCAAGCCTGCGGCGACCAAAAAGGGTGCCTCCAAACCTCTTTCTCCGAAGAAGGCAACTCAAGTCGCGAAGGGGATTTCATCCTACGCCAGCTCTGATGGTGAGGATGATGAATTAAGCATGACCAAGGACCAGAATAAGCTACACAGCGACTCCCCCAACAAACACGGATCAGAACAAACCGGACTTAGCTCCCCAGTGAAGCGAATCAACTTCACCTCCACGAAAAGCCCCAAAGCTGTCGATGAGAACGGACAGCCTACTCTGCAACCACCGAAGTCGGTTGATTTTAGCGACGCGATTTTCATGTCCAGCCCTGCTCGCCGACCTCCCCCTTCTCCATTTAGCTACAGCTTCCGAGAGACGCCACGGCGCGGTCTGGCTTTGCCCGAGGATGCGAAGCCTACTTCTCAGCCTAATTTTAGCCCAACAGAAAACTCGCCACTGAAATCGTCACCCAGGAAAGCGAACTTGGACACACCGAGACGTGGTAATCTCGGCTTTGATGATGTGAGGCCACTTTCCCAGCCAAATTTCACACCTGGGCAGAACTCCCCGCTTAAGTCTTCACCGAAGAAGGGGCTTTTTGGAGCCTCATTTTTGTCACAGCCGTCCCTGCAGGAATCGTCAACGCCTTTGAAAAGGAGTTTGCTCCAGAGTCCTGCGAAGAAGGTTGCCTCTCCGTTCAAAAGTTCTTTGCTATTCTCGAGATCCTTAATGACTGAGCATGTGGAGGCTAGTTCCGGCGGGAGAAAAGACTTTGAAGCGGCCCCTTCTCCCAAGGCTGCTGAAACGTCTTACCAGAGGTATGACTCGGAAGAGACCGTGGAAATGCCGGAGGAGCCTGAGCACGTTACCGAAACCCCGGCCAGTCGACATGATGCCGAGACACCTGAACCTGAAGCCGAACCTGAATCTATCCCGGCTTTCCACAATGTATCGTATACTCCACAGTCTGAGATGGAGGATGAGAGTCATGAAAAGCCCCTAGAACAGACAGACGAAGCTCACGAAGATGCGGTGGAAGATTTCGATATAAACTATGAAGACACGGCAAGTGAGCATGAAGACATGGAAGATACCAACGACAGCCCAGAAGAGCCTCAGGATCCTGTTGACATGGATCGTGAAAGCACCGTGGAGAGCGATGGAGTCGATGGTATCTACGAGCTCTTTGAAGGCCAAAACGAGATTGTCGAAAATATCCTCATGGAGGATGATCTCGAGCAGGACAACTTTGAAGAGCGCCTCGAAGCGTATATGCCAGGGATCCCTGAGGATTACACGGTATGTTTTGAGGCCGTAGAGCAGGATGCCTATGAGTCTGCTCAATATGCCCAGAGCATAGTCGATACTGAGATCGAGGTTGAGCACGATGCTGCCGACGATGGAATCTCGGTCGCACCGGATGCGGAAGACATCGCCCTTGGAAATCAACAGGGTGATGAGACCAAGGAAGAGAACTACGAATCTGAGGATGAGTTACAGGACGAAGAGCCCCAAGAGCCGGTAGAGTTCTCAAGTCGCGAAAGGATGCTTGAGAGGCTTGAGGATGTCTTCACTGAAGATCCTACCGGCACGTTTGAGATGTCTGGTGATGGAGAAACAGAGCATCATGCTGAGACTTCAGAAGTTGGGGGTCATGAAAGCGTCGACCCTAGCTTGGAGTATGACGAAGAAGAGGTCAATATGCTCGATGATTACGACTTCGACGAGGAAGAGCCTACTCTTGTCGCGGTTGGTACTCCCGGGCGAACATTGAGACAAGCGCCTCAGCGTACACCACGACGCACCCCACGGCGTACATCTAGAAGAATATCTCAACGGACCCCTAGACCAACGTCCTCGCAGACTCCAAGACAAACGCCTGCGCAGGCGTTGAGAGAAACCTCTGAACAGACGCCTGAACAGCCTCAACAGATTCCTAGAGAAACACCAGAGCCAACCCCTCAACCACGCGCACTCACCCCTGAGGTATATGCTCCTTACGAAATCGAGGAACCCCCGACTCCCCAGGTTCCAAACTATTTCTACTTTGTTCCACAGTATTTCGCCTCGTTCGCGCCTCCCCGTTTCCCCGATGAGTACCGCGACACTGCAGCGGAAACCACAAGCTTTGATGCCGCTGATGGTACAACTGCGAAGGATCTTCCCATCCCAGACGTCCAGCCCTCTCCTCAGCCACAACGTCATACTCCTGGACCGGAGAAGGAAAAGCGTCAACGTCCTCGCTTCACGTTGTTGGCCGAGCAACTCAGCGAATGGAAGGCGAGCAGCCCTGAGAAGACTGAGCAGAGGCGCTCTGGACGTCGGGGCATCTTCTCCCTTTCGGGCGGTCTGAACCGCCCTAGCGATGTCGATAATGCCCAAGAAGATGTGTCTTACCCCGACCACTCCGCTAAGTCACAGTCCCCAGTAGTTGAGGAACTCCAGCCACACGAAGAACCTGCAGCCACCGTGGACGAAGATGACCAGGAGGAGCCAGAAATGGGTCGCTGTGCTTTTGAGGATCTGGAGAAGTCTCCTGGACTACCTATGTTCGAGATATTTAGCGATGAGGACCCTGTGGAAAATAAGCAGACTGATGCTCGTGAGGATACACAAGTTTCCATTGTTTACGAGAGTCCAGTGCGCCCAGCTGCCTCGATTCAAGAAACACTGGATGATGAAAAAGAAAATTACGAAGTTCAGCTTCCCGCACCGGCCACGCCCGTGCGCGGCAAGACCAACCCCTTGCAGACATTCCACACCGTGTCCAAGGTCCCCCTGAAGCCGGAAGGGGAAGTATCCCCTTTGAAGGTGTCCCGTAAGCGAGGCCGCTCTCTTTCTATCACATCACCGACTCGCTCCTCCCCTCGACTTCGCAAATCGATCCTCGCCCTCCAAGAGGATGTCGATTCCCTTCCCCCTCGCAAGGCACCAAGATTATCGTACAGTACAATGCCACAATTGCAACCTACTCGGTCGAGGAGCAGCTCTAGGGTTCGGGATGCAACACAGGAGAATGAACGGAAAAGGGCGCCTTCTCGTTCTCCCAGCCCTGCCAAGCCCCCTCGCAGGCGCAGCAGCATCTTCCAGCCGACTCCCACCGGAGCCTTGCAAGGAGCTGTTGTATACGTGGACGTGCATACGACCGAAGGAGAGGATGCTAGTGGCATCTTTGTGGAGCTTTTGCAGCAGATGGGTGCCCGATGTGTTAAGAACTGGTCCTGGAATCCCCGTTTGAGTGTGTCTCCCGATGAACAGACAGAGACCAAGGAAGGCAAAGTCGGCATAACTCATGTCGTCTACAAGGATGGTGGTGTGCGTACTATGGAGAAGGTCAGGCAAGCCGCAGGTCTGGTCAAGTGCGTAGGTGTCGGCTGGGTCCTGGACTGCGAAAGAGAAAACAAGTGGCTTGACGAGGCTCACTATGCCGTCGACAGCTCAATCATCCCGCGTGGAGGAGCCAAGCGCAGAAAGAGCATGGAGCCCCGCGCACTGAGCAATGTCAACGGAACCCTCGTCAAAGCCGATGCCGGCAGCAGACGGTCCGGGGTGGGCGCTGCCGATCTCGCGCGAACAACCACATCCACTGCCCGCGATACGCCTTCCACTCCCAAGAGGACTAAGAAATCCGAAGCTGGTTACCCGGGAATCGACCCGAGGTATTTCCAAACCCCCAAAACTCCCGCTTTCACCTTCAACATGGACTCCGTTGGCATGTCCCCAGCAACCCCCTTCTTCCTATCCCAACGCTCGAAACTGGTCCAGCAGACCTGTCCTCCAAAGCAGCTCCGCCAGGGACTTTTCTCCAACCCAGGCCCAAGCGAGGAGCACTCACAGAAGCTGCGGGTGAAGTTAGAGGCAGCCAGACGGAAGAGTCTTGCTTTTAAACCCAAGATCGGGAGCCCACTGGTACCGTAATCGTATGTTTGGCTGTTTTGGTGTTTCGTACGTTGGTTTACGTCTTCTGTTTCATATATCATACCCCTTAGCAGTTGAATTTTGTAATGTACAGGTGTCAATTGGAGATTTTTTGTTCAGTTTGGTCTTTGTAAGATGCCGTAGGCACACATGTCCACATCCATGGGCCTTGAGTATATCCCAGAGCATGTAATAGCCACGCCAACAGTATATGCGCACAGATATGAAAACACGAACCAACACAGTATGATGGAGGAGATAAGGGGGAGGAAGAGAAAACAAAAGAATGTTCAGTACGTGACGATCGAGATGAACATCAGTAATTTCAAGCATCTGATGTCGCCGGCGTTGGTTCGATTTCCTGAACAATGTTACCGGGATGCAATGGCTTCGGAGCTCAACCAGTATCTGCGTGGGTTTATCGATAAGGGCTATTTTGCGGGGTTTCTTAAATTTCATGTCCAATATTGTTTGGTTCACTATAGTGAGTATATTCTTGGGTCCCACTGTACGACACTTTTGTATTTCGCTCGTCATCATATCACGCTTTCATGCTTTTATATTCCAAGTAGATGAAGAAAAGGTAAAAAGGGAAGGAAGAAAGAAAAAACCCCCGAGATATGGTATGCACATTTCCTCGTTAGATTGAATTCGTCTCTTCGTCCATCTCGCGGTAGAATCCAGCCACCAAGAACGCCAACTCTAACGCCTGCTTCTCATTCAACCGGGGATCACAGAACGTCGTGTACCGCTCACTCAAGTTCTCCTCGGTCAAACCGCCGGCACCACCAACGCACTCCGTGACCGCCTCGCCAGTCAGCTCAAGATGCATGCCACCAAGGAACGAGCCGGCCGCCTTGTGGATTTCCAAAGCTTGGCGCAGCTCGGAGAGAATGTCGGTGAAATGGCGAGTCTTGACGCCGGAGGGCGTAGACTGCGTGTTGCCGTGCATGGGATCGCACTGCCAGACGGGCAGGTGGCCGGAGGCCTGGACGGCGGCGATGTGGCTGGGCAGATGCTGGGCGATCTTCTGCGCACCGTAACGGGAGATCAGAGTCACCTTGCCGATCTCGCGACTGGGGTTCACGACGTCGAGGATGCGCACGAGCTCGTCTGGGGTCATGCTGGGCCCGATCTTGATGCCGATGGGGTTGGCGATGCCGCGGAAGAACTCGATGTGCGCGCCGTCGAGTTGGCGGGTGCGGTCGCCGATCCAGAGGAAGTGGGCGGATGTCGCAAAGTAGCTTTGCGGGGGCGCGGTTGCCCCGGCGGCTTGTGCAGGGTGGGTGGTTTCAATGGCGGGGTTTTTCGACAGGCGGGTTAGACTCTGCTCGTATTCGAGTAGGAGACCTTCGTGACTTGTGTAGATGTCGACGGTTTCTACACCGCGGTCGGTGTCGATCCCCACGGTCTGCATGAACCGCAGGGCGTCCTTGACCCGGTTGACGATGCGCTCGTATTTCTCCTTGATGGTCGGGGTGATGACATGGCCGAGTCCCCAGTCCAGTGGGGAGTGTAGATCGGCCAGACCAGAGGTTAGCGATGCGCGCAGGTAGTTGAGTGTGGCGGCAGAGTGGAAGTATGCGGAGACCAGCCGTGATGGGTCTGGCTTGCGGGATTCCGGCGTGGCCTCGAAGCCATTGATGTTGTCTCCACGGAAAGAGGGCATCTCAACGCCGTTGACAACTTCCATCGGACTCGACCGCGGCCTGATCACGTTAGACCGGTTTGCCTTTCCAATGTACTAGAACTAGCCAAAGATTGGCGAACTCACTTGGCAAATTGCCCTGCTATCCGCGCAATACGGACGACGGGCTTATTGGCACCTGTAATTGTTAATGTCGGTATAGAGCAGATTGACGAGAAAAACATACCCCAAATTAAAACCAAGCTCATCTGCAAAAGCAGCTTAACTTTAGCCTCAATCATGTCTTGATTGCAGTAGTCAAACAGCTCCGCACAATCTCCTATTAACGGGTCAGCAACAAAACTCGAAGAATCTGTAAATTGCGAATCCAGACCTCCTTGGAGTACGAAGGCCTTTCCCAGTGCCACATTTTTCAAGTTCTTCTTCAAGTTGGTGATCTGTCCACTGTGTCAGCATTTGAGTCATAGTAGTATATCAGCGTAAAGAATGCGGGGTATACCTCTTGCGTAGTGACCAACGGAGGCAATTTCTGTAACTTGTCCAGAGCGGCTTGAACACCTGTAGCATCATTGTACGGGACATCCTGCTTGATGGGTTTCGAAGCCCAGGCTGGTGGGGATTCCAATGTCAGCATCCAGGGCGGCTATACGCTATATGGCGGGGAAAAGGGCATAGCCGGGGGACGCACAGCTTGGAGTCCAAGGGTCCATGATGTGGAGTCTCAGGATCGACGGCTACCTGATGATTCGATGGCTACGAGAAAGGTGGTTTAGACGGATCCTCCGTAGAAAAACCAACGAATTGAGCGACGTAGGTTGCCAGATGACCTTCAACTTGACAGAGGTTTGTTACACCACCATTTGGCAAACAAAAAAGAAAAGAAAAAACTGCCGGTTATTCGCGGCCTGAGTCACACTATGAACTAGTCCTAATCGGGCAATACTATGACTTTGCCCAGTCTTATCGGCGTCATGCCTCCCTTATCGACTCCTCCAACCTTCCATCACAGACAACGACAACACGTTCCTGCAGATCGTGTCCCCACAATCTACCCTAGGCTTGATATAAGCTCTTGCCTGACTCGACTAAACCTTCTTACTTAAGCTTACTGACCATGTCTGACTCCATCCCCTCTGCCCACCCGGACGCTGGCGCCGCCGACCAGCACCGCCCCGCAAACGCGGAAGACCGCAAAGCCGCCGCTGCCCTTTCCTCTCTGAACACGACTGAGATCGGTGCGGACTCAGGCGCCAAGCCGCCTTTATCGGCGGACCAGGAGGCACTGGGGAAGGCGATGAGCCGGTTGGAGATCGTTGCGGGGCAGGATGCCGGCAAGAAGGCGACTGGGCCGCAGAAGGAGGCAGAGGTAGTGAGGAAGAAGGCCGTGAAAGTTGCCTCGGAAGATATTAGCCTCTTGGTGTGTTTGCTATCATACTCCTTCTCCCCATCGTTCCGGGTAGTCTGACATATAACAATGGCTGCAGGTTGACCAGTTAGATTTAACGAAGGTCAAGGCGACCGAGCTCTTGAAATCCAACAATGGAGATGCTAAGCAGGCGATCAAGGCTTTTATAACTCCTGTGGGGGCTTGAGTCGCTATCTGCTAGCTGGTCTGAAATTGGAATGTAAGAGATACTAAGATGTACGCTCAGTAAACCAATACTTTCAAGCATGGCTGAGCAACGAAGAGCCATGGCGACTGCTTGCCCGAGAAAAGTTAACGAACTTAATGACCTGACATTACTGAATCAACTAAATGGACTGGTATCAAATGCGTCTATTGTATTTGTATGCGTATCTTGTAGACTCATAAGCCCGCGACAGACCATGCTGCCCAGATCTTATGTCATCTGCTATGTACATAACATCTCACTAGGTGTCCTCTTCTTCGGTTTGATCCTTCTTCTGCTCAATCCCATTATCCTCATAAATCGACCAAAGCAAGAACCAGCCTACTATGGCCTCCACCGCCAGGGCCCACCATATGCCGCCCACCATGTTGTACTTGAGTCCCAGTCCTAAGCCCCATCCTCCAATCAAAGGGCCAAGGGTGCGCGCGCCGCTTGCGATGCTCTGCGCCACGCCATGGACGGTTCCTAGAACGCGCGGGTCCGTAACGCTATTATTCACAAGGATGATCGCAGCCGGGAGGGCAAACGTTCGTGAGACCACCTGCAACCCTACAACAACCGTAAATGCAGGCCAAACCAGCCACGGGTATCGTGGTATCAGGACGATAAACGGCATGAGCGCATAGGCCAAAGGTGAGAATGGCAGAAACGTGCGGAAAGAAGTCAAGGTCCCCAGACGGGACTGAACTCGAGGATAGATGAAGATCTGCAGCGGGAGGCCGATGAACCCAATAATAGCAGTGGCAAGACCAACTCGAGAGGATGGCAATCCCAGACCACCGCCAAAATGGAAGAGACCGTCTCGGCTACCTTCCGGAGCCAGCGGGGCAGGCAAGAACACGAAAGTCATAGAGTTGCAGGCGCTGGTGTGGAATGCTAATAAGAAATGCACCAGCAAAGTAAGCAACACATTGGGCGTCCAAATCTGACGAAAGCTGGGACGATCACCACGAGGTCGAACGCGTGAGCGAGCTGGGCTGGGGGGTGCTGATCTGTTGGCTACGCTTCCATCAACGTATAGAGATTCATCGTCCTCATGACTGATAAGGGGACGGTAATACTGCGGGATCCGACGGCGAGAGAAAGTATTGGCAAGACTTTTGCCTAGCTTCCGGCCCCAATCGCTTCGGTAACGAGTAACCTCATGGGTCTAGGACATCTATTAGCAACCTGGAAAGTAGGTAAATCTGCTGACGCTTACCTCGTCTAATCCGAGGATTACAGCCAATAAAGAAGCGAGAATGAATGCGGCACTGAGCAGGTTCGGTAGTGCATATGGCCAATGCATCATCCAACCCACACCATCTTTGCCTCCTAACAACGATCCAGGTCCGAACAGATCCGGATAGTTCCTCACAGGATCAGCCAGCATGCCTCCTAATACAGGCCCGATGATAACTCCGATGTTAAAACACATCGGTAGCAGAAGAAATGCCCGAGACTGAAACCTATGATTACTTGTTAGGTGCCTTGTAATTTGAACAGAGGGTCTAGCGTTGTCGCAGCTGCGCAAACTCACTTCTTCTCGTGAATAATCTCGGCAATCATCGTCCTCATCACTCCGACATTGCTATTCAGAATACCGCCTAGAATTCGGAACACTACCGCGGAAGCAAACGATCTCGAAAATCCGAACCCGAGGGACGAGATACATGTTCCCAACAGCCCAATGATGAGAACCCGTTTCCTGCCCATCCACTCAGTATCCGCCAGTCGACCCCACCAAACGGCAGTCACAAATTGTGCAGCGGTAAAGCTACCTTGCAAGACGCCTGCTTGTGCCGAGATAGTTGAGTCGGGAAGCGAGGGATCAAAAGATCGAAGCTGGTAGAACAGATATGCCTGCAAAGACGTCTGGGCCAATGGCTCCGACAGACGTGCAAAGGTCAGGATGGCAAGCTGGCCCTTTTTCGGCAATGAGCGCCATGTTACTGGCTTCTCACTAGAGGATTCCGCCAGGTCATGGTCGCCGTCATCTTCATCATCGCTATCGTCGGAAATACCCCGACGCCGGCGATTTACCGACGCGCCGGCAAGTGAGCGTTCTTGAGTAGAATCACCATCATAAATAACGGTATCTACGCTTTCAGTGTCGTTATACTCATCGGGAGCGTCGTGGTGAGAATGTCCGGATGCCAGAGGATTGTTACCTTCTGGCGGTGACTGAGTTTTGCGGTGTTGAGAGCGTTGGGAGTCGGTATCTTCGGTAGTAATACCGGTATCTACATCGTCAAGAGGGCGAGGTGGAATTACACGCAGTCGACTCGGTCCCATCAAAACGAAGTAGGAACAATAGGCACCCGATGACACTCGATCGTGAGATCGAAGTATTGAGGTTATAATACAAAAGTCAGGTGGCGATTTGTTGTATAGGAAGGAAGTTTGGTTGAGTTGGGGAAGAAGATTTAAGACCGAAGCATGGCGACATGCACGCTATACCCGTTTGAGTCTATCAGATCAACGAGTCACGGAGTGGGTCCGATTGAACGGTGGTATTACTAGCATGTATCCAAATCCCTATCCCACATCATAATACAGCAAATTAACAATGCCTAACATACACCAATGCAGCCGGACACGAGACGCCATTTCCAGGAAAGAACAGAAGAAACTCAAAGCAAAGAGGGGACAAGTTTAGTTACGAGCTCAAAGTCTGACGGAGACCGCTCAGGTCAATCAACGCTCAGGCTGATCTCAAGCAACCAAGGCAGTAGCCAAGGCACCCGAGGACAGTCAACGCTCAATCAAGGAGCGGACACATTCCTCTGGGATTAATTCCTTTCCTGATAGAGAAGAAGCATGGTTCTTAGCCCAGGGACATGCACATTCAAGTCAGTCTTAAACCCGGCCTTATCACCACGCCTCCCTGCTGCAAGGAAAGAAGGGATATCAAGAGAAAAGGGGAAGGGTACAGGGAAAAGACAAAGAAAGAGCGGAAAGGACAGAGTGGGAAAAGAGACAACATCAGTCGTCTGATAGGAAACGAATTTTTCCACAATACCCCATGTATCAATTGTGATTGCTGCCACCAGTAACATCCATTGTACTCTCAATTCCTTCCCATGGAAGGTCCTCATCATCATCAATATCATAGTCTGTAGCATTGTTCTGTGACGACTTATCAGTCGTAGCAGTCACATCAGCGGCTCTTGCCGCTCCCACGTCAATGCCAATCGATTGGAGAGTCACCTCCATCTCCTGCTCGGTCATCTCCTGACCCTTGCTCTTCTGCCCCTCAAGCACATCGTACAATGCATAAATCTGGTCAGCCTTCATGTCGATGTCCTTCAGCAGCTTCTCGATCTTTGCAGAAAGCGATTTCCTTTGCCGCTTGCTCAAGGATGCGTCTAGTTTGTTGTATGCCCCCTGGTACGTTAGAAGTTGCATCTTCAGATGTGAAAGCTCGTCCTCCAACGCCTTGAGCACTGTAGCAAGGGCAACCGCTGGCGGTTGTGCGGGGCGCATGGTAGGTTCTTCATTGTAAACGGATGGTTCTGGCATACGCTCCGACACCGGGATAGGCTTAGGGATCTTAACCGACTCTCGCGTGTGGTCACAAGAGTCACCGGGAATAGAACGCTTGCACACCGTGCAGTTCTTTCCATTGTGTTGGGTGGCGCTGTCCAGTGCCCGTTGGGCAGACTGAGGCAGACGCGCCGGATTTTCAGCTACTAGGTCAGCCCGATGGAGCGTGATGTCAGGCAGGATGAATGCCGACGTCATATCTTCGGAAACTTGGCGCTTCCGGCGAGGGGTAGCGGCGTGGTCGGAGTGTCGCCGAGGACGTTCAATAGGCACTGACAAGTTGCTGTCCCCTTCACTGGCTTTGGAGGTCGCTGTCACGTCGCCCATAGCCGAGGCCGGTCTCGTAGGGATATCCTTGGGTTCTTTTAGGGACGATTTCCGAGGCGCCGCCGACTTAGACACACTTCGACGGGTCGAGTTCTCTGTTTCGTTAGAGGTGTGATCCCTGGAGGTACTCGATTGTCGTCGTTTGCGCGCCAATCTTTCTTCTTCTAGAGTCTTTCGCAGCTGAGCAATTTCACGTTCCTGTAGACATGATAAGCTTCGGTTTGATCACATAATGCTATGATTACTTACGTCGATAAAGCTCAGCAAGGTCAGGTCCTGTTCCACCCCGGACGATTTCTTGGTGTTGCCGGTTGCCTCAGCGGTCGTATCAACGGTGACATCTACTTCTTCCACAACCACTCGCTTGACACGCTGCTTGCCTGTGTTTGACTTCTTGGTCTGGGTACGCTGTCCTGACCGGCTCGAACTGGAAGATGGCTCCTTCGATCGCGGTACATCAATGGTAAAGAGAGCTTCATCCGCTCGCTCCTTCTCAAGTCGTGAGATTTCGTTGTCAACCTGGGTGGAAATTCTCGCCTTGGAATCTTCTCGGCGCCCGGTCCTCGATCGTGCACTCTTACTGGTGAGCTCCTTAGTTCCCCGACTCACATTTCTGCTATGTGTGTTGTCTTGGCTGGCTTCAGTGCTTGCTTCAGATGCGGACGTCTGTTCCGATTGTTGAGTCTCTTCGCGCTTTTTGGAGATATAGGGAGCAATTTTCACCAGTTGGGATTTTAGCTCCGCATTTTCGTGCCGAAGGTCCTCGATCTCATTTTTGAGATCCTGGGATTCGAGATAAGCTACCCCTAATTGAGAAACCGCCATATCGCGTTCCCGGTTCAATCTCTTCAATGCTGCCTCTTGGATCTCTATCTTGCGCTCTACAACGTCCAGCTTGTTCTGCAGAGCCAAGTTGGTGGCATCAAGTTCTAAAGCAGTCCGTTAGCACCGGGAGAAGGTAAATGCAGTAACTATACTTACTTCGGTTCTCATTGGTCAGACGATCCTTCCGGTGGTCATCCTCATCGGTGTCGTATTTGGTCCGGCTATGTTTATCCTTTGCGCGAGGCTTGCCGGCTTTGAGGGTAGCGTTCTCGCTTTTAACCTCTTCAATCTTCCTTTCAGCTTCCGCCTTGGCTCTCTCAAGCTCAGAGACCTTATCCTGTAGAAGCCTCAGGGATACAAATAGAGCCTTCTCATCTTCTGGGATCGGGACAGCATCAAGAGGGACATGATCACGAGTCAACGACACGTCGGTAGCATCATGAGGAGGCGACATGAAACGTGTTGTTCGTGCGCGACTTTGACGCGTGAAAACCGGCGTGCCATCTTCGTATACACCAGAAACCAATTCGGAGAGATTGGGAAGATCGGGTAGTAGAAATGACTGTTGCGTAGCAGTATCACCAGCCGTGTTCATGTACGCCAGCCGTGAGCTGGCGGGTTGCTTTCCTTTTCTGATTTCCCGAGCATATGCTTCCTGCGACGCTCTTTCCACCGCATCGGCAATCTGGTGGCTGCCGAAGCGCGTCGCGCGCGCGTTATTCGTGGCTGCCGGGGGTCTTTCGTCGCCGAGAAAAGAGCCATCATAAGAGTCGCGTACCTTTGCATGCATGTCGGATAGCGTCCGCCGTTGGCTGCTCGCCTTGGGTTTAGAAGTGTGCGGGTCGACGTTTTCTTTTTGAGCGAGACTTGCCCGTCTCAGTTGAGCATCTTTGCGGAGGTTCTCACTAGCTGCTCTGCGCGTGTTGCGCGTGGCCGGCTTCTGGGGAGTAAAGGTAGGGTAGTCGAGTCTCACGGCGGGCGACGAAGATCGGACACTGTTCTCGATGCTCATGTACGAATTCCGCGAATCATCTAGACGACGCGCGGGTTTTGCGGGGCCCCGACCGACCTCTACAGAGAACTCATCGTCCTCAGGGAGATCGTCTTCCTCCGATGAACCCGCCTGCGAGAACTCTGGGAAGTAGCGTTCCAGCATGGAGGAGTTAATGGCGTAGTCGGGTTCTTCTTCATGACCAGATTCGCGTCGGGATTTTCCAAGGCTGTCCTTCATATCTGGAAGCTTTGGACTGTGGCCGACTTCTTTGGTGGACGCGAAAGCTTCGTGCTCTAGGTCGAAGTCCGAGCCGAAGGACGCGAAGCTGTTCGCGGTATGCTCGCGCGACATGTTGGCTGCGAGTGTGGTGTGTGACTAGATGTGGTATCAAAGTAGAAAATAGACCCAAATCAATTACAATTCTGTCTGAGACATCAAAAAATACGCTCTAGGCGTTGTTGAGATCAAAGCGTAGGAAAGGGAAAGCTTAGATGGCGCGTCGGCCACCGCGACTTCCGAGCCTCAACGACAAGCAATAATCAACACAAGAGAGAATCGATATTCAATGGGCGCGTTGCATGCGATGGCAAATTCAAGTCTTCCCGCAGTCAATTCAATGGCATGGCTGACTGCTCTGAACGTGTAAATTGCATGGATGGGTCTAGCGGGTCGAAATTGAGGAGGTTGGGATGAGTTGTTAGTGGTTTGTTTACTTGGGTGGAGTTCCCGTGCGACCGCCTTTCGTGCGGTGGCATAAATTACCTTCCACGTCATTCATGTTCCGCATTCGACTGTACAATAATCATCATTTAAAAAGCTACTTCCGGATATGTTGATTTTTCCCATAATATTCCTGATAGTATAGATGGTGTAGATGTCAAGGGAGTTGAGATTGGTCACCATCTGGCGATACAGGCATTGCTACCATCGGTATCAAATATTGATTACATATGGGCAGGATGGGGTCATTCTCACGCGGTTCAACTGATGCGGTCATGTTTAAGGATTTCATCGCGCAACTTCTCCAGCACTGCGGAAGGTGGTGTCATCTACTAGTATTGACGAGTGATATGTGCTCGAAAAAATCGGGTGATTTGGTTTCGAACGGCTAACTATTGCCGTGTTCAAAAATATATATATGTATATGATCTATGTATCTCAGGTTTAATAGTACTCCCATCATCCCGTCGAAATATTATATGCATCCCGATAGTGGCATAATTACGGAATTACAATTGGAGGGCATGCTATAACTTGAAGATCTAAATGCCATTTTTATTTATTCATTTTTTCATCTATAATATCGATACAACTAATGTACATTGGTCTGGTAAAATCCCCCGTGATATGTACAATTCTCACACCCTTGCGCCCAGGTCTAAGGAATGGGAGCGTAGAAGCTGAACCTGCCCTCTGGGTCATACTTCTGCTTCAACGATCGCAGGCGGTTCTGACGCCACTGCTCGCTGCCGTACAGCTGCTCTGGTGTCTCGTCTCCGTAGGCGTAGTTGACGTACGCGCGCATGTCCTTCCGACCACTCGCTTCGTGGAGAATGTCGCGAAGCTGGGTGCCTAAGGCACGCGCTTGACGGTCACGATCTGCGCCGCCAGGCAGGTAGTTGATGAGTGGGGCGACAAGGAGGTTCTCGCTGCGGAAAGCAAATGCACTCGAGCGGCTGTCAATGTTGTGAACGCCCTGGGTAGAGTAGCCCTCGAACTGGAACATTGAATTGTTGAAGACCGAGTTTCCGCGGATGGCCGGGGCGAAGATATCCCAGATCTTCTTTTGGGCCTGGACGTTATACGATTCGAGGTAGATAGGGAAACGGGGGTTGGAGTAGCCGGATTTCTGGCATGGGATGGATGAGCTGGCAATGCCGGTCCAGGTAGCGAGGTCCTTGTAGGTGCCGCTGTCGGGAACCACAGACAACGGTCCAATGTCATGGAAGGGCTTGGTGTACTTGGAGTCCACGGTCGTTACTCCTTCCTGGATAATGTAGAAGACGATGACAGGCTAAAAGGGTGAGGTTAGCGGGTTGCACAATGTATCAGTAGGGATGTACTTACGTTGTTAGGGTCTGCAGTTGCATCGTTCATCCAGTAAGACCAATTGATGACACCTTCGGGCTGCGTGCCGTTCTTCAAGAGATAGTCATTGGCGGCCTGGTAGACAGCCTCGACCTTCTCACCGCTGAAGGTAATAGTCTCGATAGCCCACTCACTGTGCTCAAGATCAAAAATCTTGGTAGTCAGAGAGGTGACAATGCCGAAGTTATGGCCTGCTCCCTTCATCGCCCACCAGAGATCTGAGTTCTCGTCAATGGTGATCAGGGTTCCGTTGGCAAGAACAACATTCATGGAGATGAACTGGTCTGCAACAAGACCGTGGTGTCCTTGAAGCCAGCCGTGTCCGCCTCCAAGCGCCGGTCCGAGAAGACTGACGCACTCACAGGTTCCAGTCACTGTTTCGGACAGTCAGCATAATGGTCAATGAAATTGATAGGACGGTGACTATAGACTTGCCTGCTTGCTTGTCAACTTTCCACAGCTCGTCGGTGACAGTCTTGGAGATGGTTCCGCCGCCGAACTTGGCCGTTTTCCCATCTTCGGCGACTTCAACGCTGCTCAGTTGGCTCAGGGATATCTCAATCCCGTGGGTCATTTGGCCGAGGGTGGTAAGGGCTCCGTGGGCGCCATTGTATGCGAGGAAGGGCAGGTCTTTCTTGTTGGCGAATTTCACCTGAGCAATTACAGAGTCAGCAATCAATCGATTGTTACTGCCAGTCTCATTCAGGGAAGGATTACCGTCTCGGCGACATCGCTCTCGGTGCCGGGAACCACAACGACTGTTACATTGGGTTCGGCCAGTGTAGACCAGCGTGCGGATGCGAGCTCGAACTCCGACGAGCCAGGGAAGTACACCTTGGCCGTGCTGGAAAGCTTGGCTCCAAGCTCCTGCAGATCGGCGTCACTCCGCGGGCACAGACCACTAGCCCAATCGCGCGCGACGGGCACACTGCGACAGGCCGAGGTCATTGCCCATACGGCGACGGCCGTGAAGGCCTCCCTCTTGAGTAGGTACATGGTGACAAGGGGTTCTGGAATGTGAGAGATCAAGAAACTCTAGTGCCTCACAGCGGAGCAAACCCTGCAAGCGGGCTGCGGCGCTTATGTAGGAGCTGCAGGAAACATGATCGATTAGTTCAGGGGGGTCGCGGGGCAGCAGCAACAGTTCGGTCCGAGTAATCTGCAAGAATGGGTCTCGGAATTCGAGCCTGGAGCAGCCTAGTTTGCGCTGTTATTTTGTTCCGACCAAGCAATTGTATCGTGCGTTGGCGCATATACTACTAAGTGAAAGTGGGGCGTTCCTGCCATCGCCCCATTGCAGGCTCGACCTACCGGGAGTCCGGAAGCCAACAGTCGGAACCATCAAACGATCCCGTGCTGTCCCACTCTTGACATCTCGCCTGCTGCGTTGCTTCCGATCGTTTCATGTCTGCTAGCCAGGAATTGCCCTTTTCAATGTGAAAACGGGGAAGTGAGGAAACGAGGAAAAGTCGGCACAAATTTGCTCAACCCGACTTTTTGTTATCTTTACCATCGTCGGTCGACGCATGCTGGACGGATCCTTCGGTCGAACCAATGCAACGGTAATTGATTAAATATGGAGTACTGGCCGGGTGGACACTGGAAACACTATAATGGGATCGGGCGATTGGCTCATACCACCACGGCCAACCCTAGCGCACCTCTAGTATAGAAGCCGTTGGTTTGCAATTTGTCCTCGGCTACAATAGATTAATCGCGTTGTGTGGGTGGCTGAAGAATGGAAACAAGAGCGAGAACCCGTGGATGGCGTGAGAGAAACGCTAGCAGGCATCATCGATTTATGTTCCCCACGCTCATCCGAACCTGCTGTTAACAAATGCCGACGAAGATCGCCTTGGGATAACGCTTGCTATGCAAGATGCTCAGTCCTGCTGTGGTGGAGTTATGGACACTGTATTCCGTTGGAGTGGCTATAACGCTGCTTAGAACATATGCACGATACAGAGCCGTGGGATGGAAGCAATTCGCGGCCGACGACTACTTGGTATGGGTCGGAATTGTGTGTATCCTCAAAATTGACTGTATCCCACCTTCAACCAATGCTAATGGGCTGAAAGCTATTCTACACGGCGCAGACAGCTCTTGCATATAGCGTGAGCAGTGTGGCCCATGGCCTGGCGAACAGTGGAATGACAGACGCCCAGCGCGCGTCGCTGTCTGTTGACGATTCGGAATATTATCAAAGGTGCGTCGCATCTCAGCCGAGAAACACAAAGCGCCGGGGAAGCTAAACCAACGGCGATGATAGAGTGGTTGGCTCGAAAATCCAGGTTGCAGGCTGGGCTACTTATGTGGCGTTGATTGCGTCCCTGAAGCTGTCAATGATGGCCTTCTACGTCCGGCTCACGGTAGGAACTCGAATATTGGTCACTGTATATAACGACCAGTCACTGACATACCACAGAATGGCCTTGGTCCCCGCTATCGCATCCCAGTTTGGGCTGGGTTTGCGCTTGTCATTGGAAGCTTCCTGGCTAGTATCATCGTCATTCTTGCAGCCTGTCGGCCATTCCACAAGTACTGGCAGATCTACCCCGACCCTGGAAGTAAGCAACCCTCTTTTCTGATACCTGACGTCCCGCTAACCTGAAGTCCGTCACCTTTAGACACCTGTCAGCCCGCTATCTCCAAGGCCACCATCTGGGTCACCTTCATCGCCAACATCATCACCGATCCATACCTCATCTTCATCCCAATCCCCATGTTGTGGAAGTCTAGCCTGAGGCTTATCAAGAAAATCGCAACAACCGTCGTGCTGGGCGCCGGTGTGTTTGTTCTCGTCTGCGCCACTCTCAAGAGCGTCTTCCTTATCACGGTACATCCAGGACAACTTCCCTTTACACAGAGCCATCTCTAAACCACATACTAGGACCCGCTGAACGGCGCCGAAATTGCCAATTCATGGGGCACACGCGAGACCTTCGTCGCGGTCGTCACCACCAACCTCCCGATGATCTTCCACCTCTTCCGATCCTGGCTCAACGTGCTCTTCGGAAGCGCCTTCCAATCGACGGAGAAGACCTCATACAAGTCACCGTGTATCGGGGGTAGCGAGTTCACCGGCCGAAATTATCGAAGTCGGCGCGGACCCCCGAGCGTGAACCCCATCACCAACATGACATTCAGCGAGAGCAAGGAACGGATAGTCGAGGATGTTAAGATGCAGAACATGCACATATATTCGGAGCCTGTGGCCGACAGCACCCTGTTTAAAGGCATCGTGGTCTCCAACCAGATTGAGGTCACCCATGAAACTAGAAGTAGCCATATCGGTCGGTATCCAAAGAGTTAATTGAGATAGATCTCGTTCCAGTCACCACCAATACTGGTAACAGTAGAGTTGGAGACGTTGTATACCACACAGTGAGTAGTGATAATCTCAAGCCGCTCTTCAATGACACCAACACGCTCCGGTATGTATCCTGAAGGAACGTTTGTGCAAAACATGCCATGAAGATCGGACTTTGTGTGTAGCGATCCCAGATGAGCGCGAATGATCCAAGTTTTGAAGATTGTATAAACACACCTCGAAAAGGACATTGATCGCGACCTCTTACTGTTGATGCAATGTGGATAAGAAAAAAACGCAATTCTACCGCTCGGGGCTCGCGCCACTGGCCGGGGAAGGCAAAATTTATGTCCAAGCGGTCGGTTTCTACTCCGTAAGTCAAACGCCCTGGATGTTGTGGGTACAAGGAACGTCCATTTTACCGTCAGTCAGCGTTGGTGGAATATGTTCAATAAATCCATACAAAGCACTCTTTATATACATGTAGAGGTCTGCATAAAGCCAAATACATGTCATCCGAACGCCATGCTAGCGAAGTGAAACTAAGCTTGTGAATTGAGAAGGAATAGAGAATGCGCTATTAATAACAATGAATTGGCCACACAGTGGGGAATCTAAACGTCGTAAGCTCGTAACGGTCTAAGCACGCCAGAGATGGTAGAGAAGATGTCAAGGAACAATAGCCATACGACATCAACTAAATAGGGATGTAGACAAGGGAATTAAGGGCTAAGAGTCGCGATGAGTGCCTTGGTTTTCTGATGGGCTATGCTCTTCGCGGTGGGGGTTTGTAGGCGTGGTAGGCGTGTTGTTCACAGGGCTGGCGAGATCGATTTGAATGGTAGGCAGAGGAGTGAGCTCCCGTAACTGTGGTGGTTGGCTACCTCGCTCTGCGGTTGGACTTTCATACGGAGGCGCCTCTCCCCAGTCCAGCTGTTCATAGTCCGGAGGAGGGATATGGAGAGCCCCCAAATCGCCTTCCCCAGAACTCGGAATCATCGAGTGGGTGGAAGCAGCGTGCGATTGGACCGGGGTCAAGCTATCTTGTTCAGATGCAGCAGTGTCTGCGGAATGAGCGGACGAGTACGATTCGCCGCGTGAATGAACATTTGTCAGACTAGATGTGGATGAACGATTGGCCGTTTCCGTGCTCATCGTATCGGTGTTGGACAAAAGAGGGCGAGAATCCGTATCAGGCCCATCAGGAGAGGTACTGCGCATACGCGTTCCATCGTGTCGCACATAGCCCAATGCTGCATAGCTGACACTGGAAATACGCCTCTCGCGACCGCGACTTCGAGCCTCTGCCAGAGTCAATGCAGAGGAGAAATTGCTGTTGCTCCCGTTGGCAGAAGAACGACTCTGGGCTCGAGCACGACTCTCTTGGCGAATCTGCTCGAGACGGACATAATCCCCACGAGCACGAGCCTCACGACGCTCCTCTCGCCTGGCCTCCCGCTCTGCTATCTCCTGTCTCCGCTGCTGGCGGATTTGGTACAGAGACTCCATCAGCTCCTCCCTGCGGGACTCCTCTTCCTCGGCAGTCTCGGGGAATTCAACGACGACATCCATGCCGCCCCGCTCTCCTTCTCGCGCAATGACCTGTTCTGAGGGTTTCGGACTCGACGAATAGGCAGGGAGGGTCATGACGGAACGGACTGAGGTCTCACGGCGAACTGCACTATTGGTATTCATTTCTGACCCTCCTTCCACAGACCTGGTGTTTGTGCCGGTTCCCTCTCGATTTGATGACGTCCCATCATTTGGAACTTGACCATATGACGATCCAGCTTGCCAGCGATTCCATCGGTCTTTTAAAGACTTCCCGGGGATGTATTTTGGGCGACAGTTCATGCGGCGGAGCGTGCGCAGGGTGAAATACGCCATGAGAATGACGGCTATTGCGAAGATGATGGACGCAGCGCACTGTCGAGATAACTCGTCAGCGAGGTCGGAGAAAACGATGGGAGACCGATCACTGCATCATCTGGAGATAGACTTACTATGATAAAGATATTATTCCTGCGAGAAGTCTCGGACCGAGCTTCATGATTGTTGTCTGCGCCCGGCGGTCCACTCTGACGGGCGACAAGCCGTCCATATTGAGATGGGATATACATTCTCCACAATCCCCAGGAGGGAGTAAAACAAACTATCCAGTGAATTCTCAGCTATTCAACATGCGGAATGTGATGACAAGGGATTCATGGCCAGGGTTCTGGAAAGGTCAGATGGAAAGAATGTTGTCCGTGGGTTAGGCAAACCAGCGGAATGGGCGGATGGCTGGGCAGGGCTGAGCCAGTCTCGGCGATGATATGAGAGATGGCAGGCGCCAAAGTAACGCTAGCGTGCAATCACATTCGTTGCACCAGATCAGTGGTGGCTTATATACAGGAAAGAAAAAGAATGAGATCATTCATCACGAAGAGGATAATTCAGCAGAAAAGAAGTAAGGAGTGGAGTCTTCCCACTCTTCTCATTATCGTTACTCCGTGAGCTTCTAATATTTGGTAGGCTGGGACGAGGCGGCGAGTGGATCGGGTATTCTTTTCGTATGGTTCTGTAAAGTATTTTTAGATCTTAGTTTAGTGACCGGTTTCAGAAAGCTTATCTAATACTTTGGGGCACATCAACATCGAAGATCTGATCGACCATCCTACATTGTGTAGCATAGCCTTCTCATATTTCGCATGAAGCCTTACGAGTTTTGAAAATCTGGAGGATTGAAGGTAGGGAATCCTTGATTGGTATCCTGCACTTCCAATACAGCCTCGTCAAACGGTCCGTGCACGGCTTACAGGCTACTATATCCGCGACGTAGTCCAAGAGTTATACTATGCTTAGTCTCGCGTAGTGAAGCCATTGAGCCCCTTAATTCCTTGTAACCCCACTCATATATGCTACAGGAACACATATAATTCTGTCACTATATAAGTTGAAAGAAGGATGCTCGTGGTCAACGGTTGGCATTGATCCCTGCAGCTTGGAAGGAAAGGGCCAGGCATGAGCCATGGTAGCTAGGTGAAACTCTAAGCTATGCTATGCATTGCTGATCGAAAAAGACGATAACATACGTACGTAGCTAAGAGATACATGTTGTTGCAAGAATCAAAATTCTTAGTTGGCCAAGGTTGTTCAACGCATTCTATTTTAATTTCGAAAATCTTTCCAACTCAGGGGAGCGGCACATATATCACGTGACTCTCTGGGTTTAGAATTTCTAGCTGCTCTGTGCCGTGTTCAGAAACCAGAATGCATTGTCTATCGTCGGCTATTCCTTCATCCAGCATTTGCTATGCTCTCTCAGTGTAGTATTTGACCTGGCCATGAGCTACAGCATTAACCATATAAGATAGATAAGTGTTCTGAAAGCGGCCAAGAACAAGGCCACAAAGACCGATAGTTATTCTAGTCGACGGAACTCCAATAACCTTTAGGTTGTCAGCAGCTCAACTGCCGCTGGGCTGACAGTTTACGACAGTAACTCTTCTCATGGGTGTTTACAACTCGATAAATGCGATAGCACCATGGTTTTCTATATGGACTATAGAACTGAAGCCCTTCAAACGGTCCTGCTAATCGCATACTAATCTCCTGTAATATCCAAGGCATTCCCTGCACCATTTCTCTTACATTGGAAGCGTGCTATCCAACTAGTTATATACGACCATCTGTGTGTTTCAAGCAGTTATTGGTATCAGTATAATAGCTGTATTGAAGCCAATGCTAGATACCTCAATACCGCCGTGAATTGTACCTAAAAACAGAGATACCGTATATCACATCCAGCGGTATACATAAGAATCAAGATTAAGATAGTAATATAAACTCATATTCACGCGATCACTGGTAGACATCAGGCGTAAGAGAAGCCACTGTCGTCATAATATGAACCGGACGAAAATATATCCTAATTGTTGGACGTTCACATCTGCGGATACAGAGGGAACTTGACTAGGTACACGAAGGAAATTGTCAGGTTGGTAAGGAAGAGGAGTGAGCAGCTACAGCCTTGCTCACTACCACAGCACCGCTGTCCCCTTATCTATTGTTACTGTGGAGAATAATCAACATAACTCCCAGGAGGATCTTTGGTGGGTTCATGATATGTCCATGTAGCAGAAGGATACACTTGTATGCGGGATAACAAGTTAACTATAAGATACTAAGTTATTAGATAGATTCTCACTATTCAAGACAGCAAACTGTACCCGAGATTATCAGAATATTTTATAAGGGTGGTGCAGCGTGTCCTGTGAATATGGAGGATGTTAAAGAGTATAAAGATTTGCACCGGTTTGCAATCAGCTGTACTAACGAATTGATTCAAAAACTATCACGAAGTAAAAGCAAAGACGGGCTTCTCCCATGGAATCAGAGTGTCCACTTGCTCATGTCTGGGTGAGGATTCTTGTCCTTATACCAGGCATATTTATCTTGAGGCATCGCCATGTCCCAAGCAATCCATTCGGTATCCCGCCACACGATATCTGCCCCTGCAGGCTCACTCATTCTAAAGCTGGTGATATAACTGTCAATAAAGTAAATAGTGCTTTTCATTAGCCATGCCCAGAGAATGCCTCATTGTCGTTGTCAACAGGAATTATTACGTACGCCTTGTTCGCTGCTCCGTCCCAGAAGACGTGCTCTATATCTTGGAGCGCTGGTAAAATTCCCGAGCGCATACAATCGCTGGATGATAGAAGAAGAGTCAAAATTTGAATCTTGATAGAAGAAGATAGAACTTACAGCCAGGCAAGTTTAAAGGCTTGATGTATCTGCTCACGCTCCGAGGCTTCCAACTCCCAGAAGATAGCGTCGCTTAGTTGCACCCCAGGTAGGTAGTTCATAAGAATGAAGAGAATGTATCCACTAGGCACTGGGTCTGTTTCCTTCTGAAGGTCATTCTTCATGGCCACAATATTCGGGGCGGACTGACAGCCGTTAATTGTCAGGGTTCTCAGTGCGTCTACTTGACTAGTAATGAAAAAGTCAAGCCCGTAAGAGGCTGAGGCTTGGCTAGCTCTGAATTCAGCCGGCGCGTACTCAGTCCCTTCAAAGGGAATTCTAGGAATCCATAAGCTGTTTAAAGTTTCATTAGGCCTGGGTAGTGGAACATACTGCATGAATATTTTCATCGCGCCGCGCCGAGTGCTGTCCAGCAAGTCGTGGCATAAGAAAGTGCCATACGCACCACCGAAAACTTGATGCTTGTAAAAGTCGTTACCACCAACCTGGCTGTTCTTCTCGCTGATCACTTTCGTCAGGGTCCATGTTGAATCCCCCTCACGAGCAAAGTCAACCTCTCTGCCTGGCCATTCATCAAAAAAAGTTCTTTCAGTCATTGCGTTGACTGTCAGCAATTGAATGATGTGATAGTGTCACGAGATGAAGAAAAGTAGTATTGGTTGAGGCTAACAGCGCGAAGGGTCAAATGAAAGGATGGTGGTAGACGACATAATATAGGTTAGGTGGAGAAGGGATAGTATACGTAGAACTGATATAACACAATATGCGTCAACAGTTGGACATGGGCCCCTAATCCATCTTAGGACGTGGCAACTATGGTCGGGCTCGGGAGCCATTCCAAGGAATCGAAAACTATTTAACAAACTGTAAATCCTAGGTTCTACGGTGAATGCTTTAACTTTTGCCCTACATGATATACTAACACATAGGCCCTGAAGCCATTCGTTAGGCTGACGGGATCAGTTTATACATACTTATATCATATAGAAATATCAGATTCACTACATCGGAGCTATAGAGCCGCATAGAATTAAAAGGTCGGACAGCCAGCCTCTATGGCATTTGTATTCCATGCTACGCGCTACACCGTAAATAAATGATAGTGGCCCACATCACATCAACGCGTTGCGTACATAGCGTGTTCGTGTCGTCTCTCCTGAAATCAGGTTTCGCCGGGTTGTTCATATCTTTGCCATGCTCAAGAGTTGTTACTAAGAGCAACTATTAGGATTCAAGAAGGGAAACTGTATCGCCAGTTCAGATGTACATATTCACTTTATGACATATCAAAACCCTTCAATTCGAAACATTTCTCAAAAGAAATAATACTCTTTTTACACTAGTGTATTTTCATATCTAATTCTAAGAGCTTCTGCTATATATTGTGTACTTCTATCTATTATTTGATCCCTGAGAGATAGCATGGGAATATAGATATACATCTTCGAAGGGCTCTGTATCCCCTTGGCAGAAGTAGCATCTTTATAATATGGAACAAAACATTTGCTCAGCATAGGTTGAAACTATGTGAAGCCCACAGATACTAACACGCGAATTATCTTAGGCTGTAAAACTACAAACATAAAAATCCTTTTCCCTGTTCTATTCTCCATATGCTAATACTCGAACTCTCCATCTGGTTTTAATAACGATGGCACCGCAAGCAATTGCCCAACGACCTCAGCAGCTCATAAAGCTGCCCCTACCTGACCTTGCTGGAGGGCCTGGAAATACTAAGTCCTGTGCTTTACACAAGTACTTTGTTGGATCCATGGAGGAGTGGCCAAATTTCGTGGAAGAGGCTCGAGCTGCAGTCCAGCTAGCTGGAATAACTGGTGATACACCAGTTATATCGTGGACAAGTAGAGTTGCCGCCACGGAGGCAAATATCAATGCTGAACATGTTGTGGTGGGTGCTGAGTCGGGGGTACAGGGGCGCGTCCAACAAAACATCGGACAAGCGATGGGGGCGATATGCAAGTCAATAAATATAGATATGCGCTTTGCAGACTATAAGGCGGCCGCGGCCCCATGGATTGACAGAAAGGTCCCAGATATGATCTGCATGACCACTGCCGGTCATTTAAGGATTGTTGGAGAGATCAAAACGCCGTGGGTTAAAGCCCATAAACTTGCTCGGCTTTTTACTCTTGCTCGGGCAAAGGTTCAACAACTTTTCGGTATGCTGCACTCCTGCAATACATGATATGCATTCTAACTAGATTACAAGGCCAAATCGCAGAATACATGATGCTGGCCAACATGCGCTACGGGTTTTTAACCACATATGAGGAGACGATTTTCTTCCGCCAGATTTTATCAAATGGCAGCTGGGGTTTGCAGTACAGCAAACCCATTAAAAGCAGCACTGCGGCGCAAGAAGCCCCAACCGGTGACTATGAAGATCGGGTTTCCGTACGGGAGTGCTTTCTGCACCTGATACAACTAGCCGATACAAATCACATTGCGGGAAGCCCCCTTCCTATGGCACAGTGGGTGAGAGCCACTCCTATTTAACTCTCTACGACCGTGGTCTAGTGGTTGTTGGTATCTCGGGAAGCTCGGTGTGTCTGTTGCTCTGCTTCGTATGGCGACTTCGACCAGGCCCTTCGGGATTACTAGGCTGTATAGCCGAACAACCGGAGGTGTCCTGGAAGGGTCTGACCATGCAAGTATCAACCTACATACCAATAGAAGGAGGAGGAAGGGTGCTGAAATCGGACTCTGCGCCTCCACGTGGTGGCACCTGGGCAATGCAACTGCAAGTTGTAGCAAGAGCAGAGACGTACTAGCTATACATCAGCACCAGCGATGTCAATCCCGATTCCTTACACATACATAGATCTTTGACCTCAATTGGAACATCTGTTGCCGCATCTGTTAATGTCTACCGTTTCCTATCAACTTGGACACGGGTAGTACTAGTATACACTGTCCAGTTAGGGCAGGTGCAGATGACCTCATCGCCTTCCTCTTTTGTCCGATGGTTCTGTCTGCTTCTTCTTCGTCTTCTTCGTCTTCTTCGTCTTCTTCGTCTTCTTCGTCTTCTTCTTTCTTCTTCCTCTCATTCTCCTCCTCTTCTTCTTCATCTCTTCAACAACAACGCATTTCATCCATACCGGCCATATGAGCAGCCCTCTTATCCCCCTCCTCAATAACGACAATACGATTCACACTGGACCGCCTTAACCACCTCAGCTCGTCCGTCTAATTCTCAACAACGCAATTCCCACTGGCCCACTGGCAGCCTCCTGCTTCTCAACAACAACGCAGTCCATCCATACTGGCCCACCTAAGCATCATCTCTTCTCCTTCCCCACGACGACGAGATTCATACTGACCCATCTAATACCTATAGTCCTATTCTTACGCCTGTTTCCATTCTTATACCACTTCCTATCTTTACACCTGTGCCTATCCTTATGCCTCTTCCTACCTATTTGTTAACCCGTTTCTATTTTTACGCCTCTTCCTATCTTCAACCTGCTCCTATTCATATACCTCTTTCTATCCTTTAGACCTGTATCTATTCGTGTTCCTCATCCTATCTTTACAGCTGTTTTCATTCTTATACCTCTTTCTATTCTTACGCCTGTGTCTATCCTTAGCCTCTTCCTATTTTTTCGCCTGTTTCTATTCATATGCCTCTTTCTATCCTTATACCCGTGTCTGTTCGTGTGCCTCATCCTATCTTTATCCCTGTGTCTATCCTTAGTCTCTTCCTAAATTTTCGCCTGTGTCTGTTCTTGTGCTTCTTCCTATCTTTCCATTCTTATACCTCTTCCTATTCTTACGCCTGTGCCTATTATTAGCCTCTTGTTCTACCTTTATACCTGTGTCTATTCGTGTGCCTCATCCCATACTATCTTTACACCTGTGCTTATTCTTGCCCTCTGTCTATCCTTACCCTCTACCTATTTTTATCATTCTGCTATTCTTACCATCTGCTATTCTTATCCTATTCTTATACTCTGTTATCCTTATCCTCTGCTATTCTTATCCTCTGCTATTCTTATCCTCTTCTATTTTTACTCTTTACTATTTTACTAACCACCTATTCTTATCCTCTTCTATTCTTATCCTCTACTATTCTTACTCTCTTCTATTCTTACTCTCTTCTATTCTTACTCTCTGTTATTCTTATCCTCTACTCTTCTTATCCTCTTCTTATCCTCCTCCTGTTCTTCTTGTTTATATCTTTATCTTTCTCTATTATTCTTATTCTCCTTCTATTCTTATTTTTCTTCTGTCCACTTATAACTTTTGGTGTACCTCTTCCTTTGTCCTGTTGTTTCCTTTTAGCGTCTCTGTCCACCAATCTTCCGGTTGTTCTTACTTCTGTTGCTTTTATACGTATCCCCATTTCGATCCTCCTCCTGCCCCCCTAGTCGTACAGGGCTTGTGTACGGCACCTGATCAAGACTTGCACCTCTACGTGGTGTTCAGGACTAGTAACCAAATGATGGTGAAACTAAGCAAGTCAGTTTCCTTTAGCCTCTCTGTCTATACGTTCGTTCTTCCTGCTGTTGCCTTTGTACTGTACATAGTTAGATAGCTCCCCGCACAACTACATGCTTAAACTCGTAGGCGGGCAGCAAGGCCCTTCCATCAAGCCTCCTGGCAGTGCCAGACACTTGGAGGGGGGCCTGCCATCGAATCCTATTAACAGTGGGAGCGTTCAAGTTTAGTGTACCAAAGGGCCGTGGAGAGAGGGGTTTGTATATATTGTGTGGCATTGGAGACATCCAGGTCTAGGGTATGTACATAGTCAAGAAAGTGGATTCGACTAGAATGGCCAATTCGTTTGTTCCTTTTATTTTGACTCCCAGTAAATACACCTGATGTAGGCTGAGGGGTATATACATGAAAGAGTATACGTAGCTATATAGCCGTATTTATTCAATACATTCCAGACACTCATTACCTACCAGTCTGTCTAAATCCCTAAAGTCTTGTCTTACGTTGGTGAAGCAATATGTATGTTGGCATTGTGCGCAAACATCACACTGAAGACATTGGTGAAAGGTGTGTGAGTTTCTTGTGTTGTGAGGGCAGCATCATTGTGACTCCATCATGACCTGGACATTACTTCTGACCTTCTGGCTCATTCTCTATCCTCACAACTAATCTTGCTTTCTACCTACCCCATAAAATCCAAATGGATAACGTACCTCGACTCAGCGGTAAAGAACGCGAAAGGTCATGCTCCCCTCGTCGAAAACCATTGGCCGGGTTCTTCGATAATTTAACGATTTCGCCCTCCATAAGCCGGACCTCCACAAGTATGACAAGCGCCATCAGTAGTGCTTTCCAATCTCGGGGATGGCCTCCCTCTATCTCAAAGGCTTCACGGATGGACGATACACGCCTCTTCTACACGATCGCCATGGACTCGACCGTGCGAGCGTACATCCCGCTTGACCAGGACTCGCCGATGGATATGTTCAAAAAGGCGACCGACTTTTACAACGTTATTCAAGAGAAGTTGAAGGAAAGAGAAAACGATGGTGTCACACTTCTTGGCGAGATACTGACACGACACCTGGGGACCGTCATCTTTGGCAGCAACTACATTGAGCGCGCCGGTCTCAATCTAGAGGAGACGATCAAAATCTGCGAGAGGATCTTCCGTGGAGAACACGTTGACCCTGAGCATATTCCAGAAAGGTGTGAGATCGGGTATATTAAACCCTGCAGTTATGAAAATTGCTAATCAAACAATATTCTTCCTTATAGAGGTCGACTATGAGAAGAAGCTTATCGGGACCATCCATTCCAAGACACGGGCCTCCCACATTATTCGAAGCCGACGGGAGGTGGTTCAACATGCGTTGGCGTTGAACTTTCTCATAACAGAAATGGTCGTGAAGGACAAGCCGTTGTCCGAGGATCTTATCCTACGTACTCATCACATCTTAACCGAATCAATCAACACAGCTGGAGGAATGCCATGGGAGGAGTACTCGGGACGGTATCGGAAGATTCATGTCCATGCTGGAAATACCAATTTTGTCTCCCCTAAGTATATACCAGCAAAGATGCGAGAGCTGGTTTCCGAGTTCGAAAGAGATGTCCAGAAGATTGAAGCCAGTCGTATCCTTGATCCATTCACGCTCGCCGCTAAGTACTGCAATGACTTTGTGATGATCCATCCCTTTGCAGACGGTAACGGACGAATGTGTCGGCTCATCATGAATGCAATCTTGCTTAAATATGCTGGTATAGTGGTCTGTATAGGTGAGCATAACGAGAGCCGTCAGGAGTACATCGAAATCCAAAAAAGAGCCGGTGAGCATATGGAAGGGTCCGGGGAACTTGCAACACTGACCCTAAAGAAGTCAATCGCCAGATATCGGACTTTAAAACAGAAAATCAGTGGAAAGAAGCGGGTCTCCTGATATCTTCCACATTTTGTTTTTCTCAAATCTGTGCTTTCCTTGAGCCAATGCATGCCGTCTATTTTGTGTGATTGGAACAGCGATGTTTGCCACATGTACTGCAGTGACATATCTCTTGAATGATATAAATTAACAAGGTGCAAAACTAAGTTTTCATATCATTAGAATACATGGACTGAATAATTCCCTTACGCACACTATCCTCTATCAAAATTATGCTACCCCAGGATCGGGTCTTCACTAACCCCTTCTATAATGGGATCACCACAACCTCCCGTGCTTTTCAAATGTAGCCAAATGCGACATTTTGGTAGGCCGGGAAATGCTCCAGTCTGGCGGCCACTTTGTCATCTGCAAATATGGACGGCACGGACATACGTTCTACCCAGCTTCGCCCTAACGTTCCATGAACAGTTGTGATACTGAGTCTGGGTTTACAAACATGGAATTCTCTGCCTGGCGCTAGCCCTTCTATCGGGGACGGCACGCCAAAGATACAACTATCCTCCGCAGTTGGATCCTTAGGAAGACGGAAGCAAACGGTTTACTACGAACGGGATAAAGTTTGTGACATGTTCGCTCGTTTCTACGCCGTGACCAGACCCGGTTGTACTCGATCACCAGCCTTCCATATCTAAGATATGTACACTATCTGCTCCAACATTTGCACGTGGGTGTTGGGAGCGCACAAGCCATACTGATATTTGTAGGTTCCTGTCTACTGACACTTTGCCAGCGCTATCACTGTTCCGGCAGCATTCGACGAAAGCCCAAAGCTTGAATACGGTCAGTTGTAAATATTATCCTAGTTGGTTTTCGGAGGGTTAGCCTTGGGGAAGCCCTACATAGTGACGGTCTTGGTTAATATCGGTTGTTTTGCTTCAATTGTACTAATCGCTATTCATATGTTACTTTTACCAGTCAATGACAGGTATAGTAAATCCAAGTGCTTACTCTATTGAAAGGACATGTGATATCATTAATACTTCCTCACTCTCTTTGAACCCATGCCCTGGAGAAGGAATTTTAGTAACTACCAGGATTCCTCAACATCTATATGCACCGTTTGGCTCCCACTCGATCAAGTAGAGCCAATTCGAATGTCGTCACATTACAGTACAAGCCCACACTCTCAGCCTGTGCACATATCCGTCGACTCCACCGGCCATGTAGAATACAAAGCTAACTTTTCACATTGAACTGAAACAGTCACTGGATGCAGAGAATTGTTCAAAGTCATATATTAACTAAGTACTAAAGAAGTGACTGGACAAGGCAGTGCAGATGTAGATATCCATTCATCTCTTTGCCTTTTGTATATCTCCCCCTCCCAGCTATATAAACTACCTTAATCCCTCTTCATCTTCCATATCGTTCATCATACGAACTTATACATGGTTCATAGTGTCTATCTTTCCATGTATATGGCCCTGTCTCATATCAAATAGCGAGACATAAGCCTATCATGTAGCTGCGACTACCGGCATTGGGATAATGCCCATAAGTATCGGCGGCCTACGGGGCCTACCTGATACGTACGGCAACTTTTATATTTCATGATATATCTTTATCATGAATATAACCCATGCTAAGCATGGCAAGTACATCTGTTTGTTAAAAACGGTAATATCAAAAATGGCTAAAGTGAGTAACAACTCCTCTCATTTCCTGTTGGTTTTGAGCATTCGGCTGGCTGGGTTGGTCTCCAGGCTCCGAGGTATCTGCCTCGCTGGACAAGAACCTATCGCCATTTCCTTTCAAGCTCTCTTGACAGGATAGCCTTTGTGTCTTGAGGATCCTCTTTACTTTGCCAAAGTGTTTCACTAATGATATATAGTGCGCCTATTGCGGACAGGAGGTCATCGGGAAGCCGTGTGTCGCCAAAGAGCGGCAGACCTAGTCAGAGGCCTCTGTTCAATTGTAAGTTTCTCAACGATGCACATATACATGATAATAATTCCTTCAGGGGCAAGCCGCCGGGGTGGTGGTGTTCCCCCGCTGCCAACAACGACGCCCCCGGAGCCGCCGCCCCTTACCTCCTCCTCCCCAATCCCCAGGGGCCTGGGGAAGGGGAGAGGGAGGATGAAGTCTCGGTAAACCTCGGTATTCTCCGACTTGAATGAGGGTTCGATTGTCTTTTTTTCAGTTTTTTCAATTTAGGGTTATCGATCCTGAACAACATTACATATTATAAGAGCAAAGGCTAAAGCTACGCATCCATGGTTCTCAGCTTATATAGCGACCACATGATGAAGTAATACCAATTTAAACAATTTCGTCAACGTTCTCGAGGTAAACATGAGATAACAACGGAAGTCAATTGCCAGCAGCGTTATAATCAGCATCGTAGCTGCCAATTTCCTTCATCACATCCCACACCGCGACAATGGGGAATTCACAGAGTCAGTCCGGAGGGTACTTGAACTATTGTGACTATCTTGCAGACATCCTGTGCTGTATAGCATGTGGGATCCAGATCACCGGGTGCACCAGAAAGGATATACTAAATGAGCGAGAAGACTGGAAGCGATCAGCCAGATGGCGTAGACATCTTTTCACGACAGCTGCAGAGCTGGAGCATATGTACTTCAAAAAGACTCCTAAACTGTGGTCTTATTACTACCGCGCAAGTCAGTCTCCGTCTCATTTCTCTTCTGTCAGAAACTCACTGCATTAGTACTCGTTGACTCCGAAGGCGATCGTTTGTCAGGAATATGTCCAAAGATCTATCATTCTAAAAAGCACGTTAATCGTGTACCCACTGATCCTCAGAGAGCCCGCATTTTCGGGCCGGTCAGGAAGGGAAGTCGAAACGTTGACTTCCGCATGGCTAGGATAGTTTATGACACTGAGCCGGACATACCGAAAGAGCGCATCGGGTATCCTATCCATGCGCACTGCTGGCTGCTTCTTGACCGCGTGATCGGACATGAAATCGTCAAGAAGAATCTGCGAGAATTCGGCCGAGCTGTGGACGCATATTGGTGGCGTAATTTGGGAAATTGGGGGACTGGATTATGGCATCATGAGGACGAAATGTTGTTCTATGGGACACAAGCCGGTCATCTATCATGTTACGGGAAGCCCGTAGAGGATTCCCGGGATACAGAAATTGATTGCCCAGGCGACGCGCGAATGTACGGATGTGCATCTGCGAGGGCATTCGGCGATCGTTGACCTGCCGTTGGATATTGCGATTCTCATCGTCGATCTGATCTATGGGAGTCGCCCGCGGTCCATGGAAAGACTGATTGATACGCGCAATTTGCTGGAAGCGTTTCAGTGGAAATTGCCCGAGACATACTGGAAAACGCGGTGCGACTATTGGCTGGTGTTTGAGATGGACGACCTCATCAGGGAGAAGCGTGCTCTCAATTGGTCGAGGTTTTGTCTTGGACTGGAGCTTCTATTGGAGAGAGGTTGGTACTGCAATAGTGGCTTGAGAACACGCCAACGAGCTTTGACTTCGCTCGGAGGTATCAAGGAGCACTTTTTAAACATGATTGAGAAGTAAAACTGAACGTTGGTTTTAATGATTACTTGAGATTCCTCCTATCGATTTAGCTTTATGTGCACTATGTCCTATTTTTATCGTTTATCAATGCTCGCAGATGAGGCCGTTTTGCCAGCGTTTTGTATGGCCCGCTCTCAACAACACGCCCATGCTCCAGAACGACCACATTATCTGCAATCTCCATGAGGCCCTTTGCGTGAGTGATGATAATCACCGTCAGCTCTACCTGCGACGTCACCAGCCTCTGCACAGTATGTCTGATGATTTCAGCGCTGGCCGGATCAAGGGCCGATGTAGCTTCGTCTAAAACTAAAATCTGAGGTCGACGGACAAGTGCCCGCGCAATCACCACTCGCTGCGCTTGCCCGCCGGATAATCCAACTCCGCCATCTCCAATAACGGTAGAGTAGCCTTGCGGGAGGGATGATACGAACTCATCAATCCCCGCTGCCTTTGCTGCATCGCGGACGTTGCGCTGATCCCGAAGGGGTCCTTCCAGCCCATAGTTAATATTAGCTTCGATGGTGCCCGGGAATATCGTAGGTTGCTGTGAGACGATCGCCACAACGGAGCGAAGGGTTGGCGCATGTAACTTGCGTATATCAACGCCTCCAAGTGAAATGGCTGGTGTACTATCCGAAGCAGGCGTTTCGTACAGGGCTAGTAGCAGCGAGGCTATGGTCGACTTTCCTGACCCAGAGCGTCCCACGACTGCTGTACATGTGTTGCCGGGGATAGTAAAGGAAACATCTTTCAAGACAGATGCATTCGGACGAGACGGGTACTGGAAACTCAACCTGGTGATCTTTATCGGTGTTGGCGTTGCGACACGCAAGCATCCCAGGTGCTCATGCGAGGCCCCCGCGGCAAGATTCGCAAGCTGCAAGAGCCTAGACCCCCTCTCGCGCGATGCACTGATTTGTGGGACTAGAAAGTCAGCGAAGCCTAGCATGTAGATGACACTACTCACTCCAAGAAAGTACTACACTTGCGTATCCAATGCTGAATAACAGCATCGAGAGGACTGTCATGATATCCTCTACGGTGTATTCTAGAACCGACACCAGAAGTCCTCCGTAGTAGATGATCAGTGCTATAACTGTTAGCGATAATTGAATACTTATTGTTTGGCCACATACCGCTCACGAAGACGATAGTAGACTCGACCAGTCCAAAGAGAAACCCTGTGTAGCCTGCCTTCCGTAACCCCGTTGTGAGGCATTTTAACAAGGCTTTCGTATGTTTGCCCTGGAAGAACGGCTCTAGTGTCAGGGTACGTACTGTGCGTATCTCCGAGAACGTCTCAACGAATACCTCCGACGCTGCACCCCTGGCCTCGTTACAGCGTCTATCCCACAGTCCGCTGGTCCGTTCAAAACCTCTTGTGATTGCGTATACCACAGGCCCAATGGAAAGCGCAACCAGAGTCAGCTTCCAGCAAACAGCCAAGCTCCATACGGTCGCTATCACGGCAATTGAAGCTGCAACCAAAGCGTAACCACCGAAGCGGCTAAGTATCTCTCGCATTTCTTCGCCATCTCGAGCAAGGCAAGCGGTCAGATGTGATGGACTGTTTCCCTCCTCTTCGAACCATCGCTTGGGCTGGTCGAGAACTCGGCGTAAGGCTCTTTTTCGGAGGCAATCCACCCAAGCTTGGCTACAAAGATTGAGGAGATAATGCATGAAGAACGACACCATTCCGTCAGATATCGAGACCCCCAAAACAGCCAGGGCCCATTTCAGCGCACTCGCCTTGTTAAAAAACGTTACTTGTAGTTTCGATAAGAAGTAGGCGAATATCGGGGTGGTGCTGGAGTGGCAAAGAGTAAATAGAACCCCAAGGAGTAGAAGAACACGTTGCCCGATAGTAAGATTAGGTACAATCGTAAGCATTATGTGGAACAGAGACTTCATTCGTCGTCGGTCCTTTCTTTTGTTTGGTAATTTGTGAGAGTGAATTGGCCTAGTCTTTGCTCCCTCCCGTTCAGGATCAAATTCGACCAGCTGCACTCCATCTTGCAAGGTGTCTTGAGGTGTGGGCACGATTGAAAGCCGGGATCTTGGTTGGAGCTTTTCATTGTGAAAGGACTCGAGCCTTAGGCCCATAAGCACGGAGGATATACGTCGGTTTTTATCAACCGGCATGTCAGCCGAATTAACCAGGGTGGTCTCTGAGAGTATGCTGTGAATTCTGTCGCCATCAGAGTCATCCAATAGGTTGCTTCCCTCATTAGAAGGAAAGAAATCCTTATTTCCTAGGACTTTCTCAAGTTCATATCTATACCCAGCTTGTACAACTGAGCCTTGGTCCAGGACATACACAAAATCTCTGTCCAAGATGTGCGACATGTCGTGCGTTATGATGATTGTTGTTTTCCCTTTACGCCACTCTCGAATTGCTCGGATCACCTCATGACGATTCGCCCCGTCTAGAGCGCTTGTAGGCTCATCCAAGATCAAGACTGGTGTATCTCTTAACCTAGCCCTGGCGATTGCAACCCTTTGTCTCTGGCCGCCACTTAGAAAACTACCGCCATAACCCACACACGTGTCAATACCGTTGGGCATGTGGGCGATTACGCTTTGTAGCATTGCCAGATCAATGCATTCCTGAACGTCTTCTTTTCGGATCTGATCATAGTCGTGCCGTCCAAATGCAATGTTCATGAAGATCGATTCGTTGAAGAGAATGCTCCGTTGTTCTACCAGGGTGAAATTATTCCGGATCCAGTTCTTGCTCAAAGTTTGTATGGGTGTGCCATCTATGAGAATTCCACCAGAGGTTGGCGAGTATATTCGGGTGAGTAGTTGCCCCAGGGTACTTTTCCCAGATCCACTCTTTCCGATGACGAAAGTTGTCTCCCCCGCTGGGAAGAAGAAACTTGCCGAGTTCAAGCTGAGCCTCTCGGGCTGAGACGAGTATGCGAAAGACAGCTAAGACAGTTGGAATAGTTCCATGACACTAGGCTTGAATACTTACATCGCTCACTTCAATATCACCATCGCAATGACGGGGATATACTGCTCCTTCCATTTCCTTCGGGCCGCCATCTTTGGTCTGCTGGTTCAACGTCTTTTTCAATGCGGAAGCTGCAACCGCACCTTTATCCAAGACAATTACTTGAGTCATGATAAATTCAATAGACTGTGCCGCGGTGAGACAAGCCCAGAATGTCCTCAAAACGTCACCGGGTGAGAGCCGTCCAGACGATGCCAAAGAGCTGCCGTACCAGAAACCCTGAACAAACATACCATACGTCATCAATCGAATAAGCGCTATCTGAATGGAATTCAACCGCGCCTGCTTAAGAAACTGCGACGCAGCCTCGTCAATCCTGTTCGAGAAATTGCGAAGCTCGAAGGCCTCCCCGTTCAAGCACTTGACAGTATCAATCGAAGTGGTGGTGCTGTTGACAACCTTTGAAGCGCCTGCCAACGCAGCCTGCTGTGCATCAATATTTAACTTCATCTTGGAAGAGATAAACGAAGCCATGGCAGAGAAAACCGGGATCCCTGCTAGCGTGACCAGAGAAAGGTTCCAGGAAGTGTAGAACGCCAGAGCCAGCGAGCCAATGGCTCGGAAGCTATACTGCAATAGCAATCCCAAAGGCTGGGACGTTGATTTCTGTAACTCATAGATTTGGCTATGAGAGGTTAGACAAGTACAAAGCGACCCGGGGTATGACTGACGCTTGAAGACAGGATAAGAATGTTCGGGCTCCATCTGGTTGTGTTTCGAACCACTCCTGATCTTTCTGTAAAAGCCCATTGAAGAGGGTGCTGCGTGCATTGGCGACTTGCAGTTCTCCGAAGACCACAAAAAGAATGAAATAGATGCTGTTGCAAACCCAACTATAAACGCCTAAGCATGCCAGCTTGATACAGCTTGTTTTTGTCTTTTGAATTAGTTCCTGGGCAGATATTTGATCACTACCAAACAACGCTAAAGAGTTGAATGCCTCCCCAAGGAGTGTAGCAAAAACCGGAGAGCTAGCACTGGCTAATGATGCGAAAAGAATGGCGAAGCAAAGAGTTGGAAGGTGTTTTTTAGTGGTGAAGCTGAAGAGCGACAGCCAACTCGGCTTCCACCCCAAGCAGCGTTTGAACTGGATCAGGATACCTGTCATGATGTAAGTTAATATTCCATGGCTCTAGGAGCATATCATTCAGCATCTTGAGTCGGAGAGATGACTTAAACAAGGCCGCGGGTGAGTGGAGGGCTTCATGAGGCAACACAATTGAGGGGGATGAGCTAGCGACGGAAAGAAGCCATCTAGAGTCATTGTATCGAAATTGACTTCAGTATTCTTTTGTTCTGACTTGGAGGGGTTGTGGGGAAGTAAGAGAATAGGTTGCGCTGCCATTGTTCTTGGTTGAGTCGGCGGTCATCAATGGTCCCGTGCCGGTTCTTAACACCATTGTATGTATCCAGTACCAAACTAACTACACCGACATCCACAACCGCATGTAATGTATGTACACTTTTGCGTTCAGAAAAGAGAAATTCTATAACAGTCGAGGGTAATCTCTATCAGATGTCAAAGCCATCTGGACCGCGCTCTGGCCCTACGTCCAGAGACGCTGTAGAGTCTAATTGAGTAGATAGTCATTTTGCAAATACTCCGCAGACCCCATTTTTGATGGAAGTCAGTCATTGCTGGTGGTCCGAGATTCCCTCGACCAGTAACCCTCTCCGGGGTTTGGCGAACATGAAATAGTAACACTGAGCTTACGAGCTGGACTTTGCCTTCTGGGCCCGCTCATAGATCCAGTCATTAAGACCGGCACGGTTTCTATAATTGTCAGCCTTATGTTGAAGCCAATCGAAAGTTCTCGGTGCTCACCTGGCGATTTCAACGGCATAGAACTGCATGCGCACGGCTGTTTCTTTGTTAGTCCCGCATTGCCCGATGGCGCGCTAACCAAGTGAGAGGGGGAAACCCACCAAAGATTGTAGTTTCCTGGTCGTATTCAAACTTAGGGTTCGAGCGCAGCATAGTGCCGAAGTTGTAGTCGTCAACCGTTTTCTCGTACTGCTTCATCCAGTTGCGCCACTTCTCCTTGCCCGCCTTACTCTTCATTTCGTCCTCGTTGAGAGTCGCAGCGGGATCGAAGTCGGGGAATTCTTTCATGAAGCTCTCGTAGATCTCGTTGTCCATCCTTGTCAACCGAAGCTGCGAGCCTGGGACCTTCTCGAGAATCGACCAATAGGTCATCAGATGTTCGACCGCTGTGGGACGTAAGCATAAGGCGCGAAGGTGAAACGACGGGTTTTCAGCGTACCCTTAACCGCGAACTGCTTCTCCATCTACAAAGAAGGTCAGCATCCAATCCCAGACCCTTGAAAGACGCCAGGCGCAAGGTAACGTACATCCTCGAAGTTCTCGGCCGTCTCGGGATCAAATTTCTTCGACATGTTGGGCGAGTGTGATCAGAATAATCAAAGGGAAAGAAAATAAATATAGATGAAAGCAAAGTCGAGTGACTTTTCGTGATAAACGATGTTTCGTGTAGTTTCGCAGAGTTGTTCGAATGGATTGCCCCGCGATTTAATCTTTTCTGCCGGCGGAGATAAATTTTGCGTCCCGCCGCCCTGTGCTTTATCGGTACGTCATTTAATTCACCTTCTGTACATATTTAATTAGTACTAGTATACTCCTGAACGACGAAGTATTTCGCTTATCCCGACTGAGATTTTCCACGAAGGCAACCTATGACTCAGTCTGCCGTTCTTTCTTTCCATTTCCTAAAGTTTGGTGTCCGTTTACTTACTACTTACTGAGTGAAGGTCAAATTAGTTATGTATGTACAAGAATGCAACGCTTACTAATCGGCACAGTTACATGAGCATCCATATCGTAGTATGTTCCTTTAATATCTGAAACAAGAGAATTTGCCCAGTGCGAGTTCCCATGAGTTCAGTTCAAGGTATTCTTTCACCAAGACAATGAGCGAAGGATATGTTTACAAGGGAACACAAAGCCCTGGAAGATATACCGGCAACATCGAAGACATGAGTGTGCTGCAAGACAGACATTGTCAATAATTTCTTCTTTAAAATCACAAACTGACAAAATGGTCATGTACAGGAGGCAAACTAAAGGAGTATGTTGCATCAACTCTCTCTGCCTCTTCCATAAGCTTATCAACTCTCGCTATATTCTAGATTGTTCTTCATTAGGCTGCATCTCAACCTTCAACTGAATCAATCGGAATCTGACACGGTCATAGAGCTCAGAAGTTTTACCACCTCGGTCTCTCCTGCTTTAGCGGCTAGGTCTCGTGCTGTCTGTCCACTATCGTCTTTATCATCTGCTGAGGCACCGTGGCCAAGAAGGAAATACACGTCGTTCCTAAGCCCGGCCTTGGCCGCCATATGAAGCGCGGTCTGTCCGAACATGTCCCTAGCAAAGACGTCTGCTTTCCTGTTCACGAGTAGTCTCATTGCATGGCCTTTGGAAGATACTGCCCTATGCAGAGCAGTTCGCCCATAGTCGTCCTGTAGGTCAACAACTGCCCCGCTTTGGACCAGGAAGTCCACCATTTTGCGATGGCCGCGCTCGGCAGCCTTGTGCAGGGGGGTCTCTCCAGAATAATTTGTCACATTGATATCCATTGTACTCTCCAGTAGTAAGGCTACCATGCTTCTAGAAATGCCGGAGGCTGCAATATGGAGGGGTGTATCGCCAAGGTCATCTTGCGCGTCAGGTTCAGCGCCACTCGAGAGTAGCAATTCTGCAATACTATCATGCTCATATCGCACTGCATAATGCAGGGGTGTCTTGCCCTCTTTGTCCGGCTCGTTGACTTCTGCGCCCATATGCAGGAGGAGAGTAGCCAATTCAGCATCACCGTTCTTAGCCGCTATATGTAAGCTTGTTTGACCGGAGTTATCCTTCACGTTGACATCTGCACCTTTCTTCAGTAAAAGCTGCAGCATCTTCATCATACTGCGTTTGCTTCTATCGTACATGACCAGTGTCAATACCAATGGCAGGCCAAGCTCCCCGAAAGGTGAGTTCTTATCCGCCCCTTTTCTCACCAAATATCTGACCACCTCAATGTGTCCTTGGCGCACAGCCTGATACAGTGGTGTGCCGTGTGGTCCTTGTGTTTCACTGTTGAGAGGAGGATGCGCTTCCAAGTTGGCACCCTGTCGCACCAGCAATTGCACAACTGGTAAATGCCCATTTCGAGAAGCCCACCACAAGGGCGTACGGCCAGCAGCATCTGCGTCATCGACGTTGACTTTACCAGAGCCAATGAGCAACATGACAACTTCAACATGGCCTTTATCCGCAGCCCAGAGCAACGGTGTCCGGCCATTAGTATCTTTGATTCCAGGGTCGGCATTCCTTTTCAGCAACAACGCCATTATCGTCGGCTTTCCCTTCTCGGCAGCCCAGTACAATGGCGTATTCCCGTTCAGATCTGGGATGTTGGGATCGACGTCACTGCGCGCCAGAAGTTGGCTCACCACTCCTTCGTGTCCATTTTTAACTGCCCAGCAGAGAGGAGTCTGGCCGAGCTTGGTATCCCTCGCGTTAACATCAACATTACCGCTGGCCATCAAGAGCTGAACTACTTTCTCATGACCCTCCTCTGCAGCCCAGGAAAGCGCACTTCGACCATCTTCATCCTTACAATCCAATGCCACACCAGGGGTGCCAAGCAAAAGTTGCACAATCGACTCATACCCCTTACTAGCAGCCAGAAAAAGCGCAACCTCGAACTTGCTCTTAGGCCCTAGATTTTCAGACGCCATCTTAGGATAAGACCAGGTTAGATAATTTTCCAGCCCATCGGGTGGCCTTAAACGATTTCTATTTCAGGTATGGTCGTAGAAGGGTGTCAGAAGGCTATGTCATTTTTGCAACCCATGGGATGTGCTGTGGATCAAATATCGGGCACCTTTTTCTTCGATAACTTTCTTTGTGGGTTAGCAGAGGGGCAAAATTATGGCATTAATTCAAGCCCGTACGCCACGTGGGTTGCGTTCACTGGTGCTTTAGGGTGCCCACTTCAGACGAGGTCCCTTGTCTTGTCGGGTCTTGCTTGGTGGGCTCACCCCGGCTCCGTTTCGTATGATGTGCATGGGATGCTAACCTTTACCGTTTCGGGGTTTGAACTGTTGCCGGTGGGGGAATCGTGGCAATACATCTTTCATCCCGAGATTCGTATACAGTTCTTTTGGCCTGGTTGATCCCTAACCCTGATACAAGTTTGAATATACCAATTTTTTTGGGCTTCAATTTCCACATCTGTACATGAATATGATGTTTCTTATTAAGGGAGTACTTACCTGCGTCATGTCCCGATGTACAATTTCTGGTGGGAGAGCTCAACCATTGGGCATGAACCATGGGTATACCCGAAGCTTCGTTAGTTTCAGCCTTACCACTATAGGAAACTCAATATTGAGGTATACTTAGCTATAGACTATCCCGTTAAAATCATGTTAAAGTTTCAATTACATATTTAGCCTAATATTATAATACAACTCAAGAATCAATCAATTAATCACTGTCTGAATCGGGTAACTCTTCCAGTCTTCCCTCACGGACAGCCTGCGCGACGGGGTTCTCCACCTTGAGGATGCCGTTGGCTCTGGCCCTAGTCAGGGTTAGCATTGGCCCGTATGGGCAATAGGATAGACGTACCTCTCAAAAAGCACAAACAGCCGCTCGGCTTCTCTCTCCTTCTCTTCCTGGGACATAGGTGGACCCGTATCCTGTTTCTCTGCGGCCCATCTTTGACCGGTGATGGGGTTAATCTCAGGGTCAAACGTTTCTGCGGCGAATGCCTCTCCGGCAGACTTGGGGATCTCCATGCCACGGGTGGCGAGTAGTCCTGCAGCAAAGCCGTATCCGATATTCTTCGTAAGGTTTTCGGCGTTCTTTCCGGAAAGCACAAACATAAGCTCCGAAATTGCGGTTTTCAGATTGGGGTATGGTGCGGTGGAGAGCTTCAGTAACTTGGAAGAAAGCGTGTCGGATTGTCCGATAGGCTGGTTCCTGTCATTGTCCTCTGGCAAGAGTAGCCACTGCATGTATTTACGGGGCCCATCTGGCGCCAGTTCGTGAATGGTAATGAGCGAGTGAAGAAGTGCGATGGCCTTGGTCTCAAGCTCCTCCGGGCCGTATAACGACGTGGCATGGTCCAGGATATTGATCAGCTTGTCAACATTACAGTTTTGATTGAATGTCGGGAATAGTGGGTTGCTGTCAAAAGGTTTGCCTTTCTTGTTTTCAAGGTCAAGAGTAGACAAGCAGTTGAGCAGGTAGCTAAGCAGGCCATCCAATGGCTTGGCGGGGATTTCAATCCGACTGATCATCTTAAATATATAAGGAATTGAAGGCGCAAATGTTGCAGACAAATCCGGATAGATCTTGGATACGTTGAAAATGAGCTTCAGTGTGTCGATAAGAGCGAGCTCGTCAATCTGAGGTAGAGGCTTCTTGAGCGATTTTGGAAACTGCTTAGCATGTCGGACAATTTGCTATAGTGCTGGTTAGTAGTGGTATCTGATCATGAAGTGGTAGTCTTTACATAGTTGACATTATCACCTAGCCCATGCTTATTCACAAGATTGTCAAAATCCATGGTCGTGTCGTATGTGGATAGGAATAATATCCGGCTGATGACCATTTCATCTTCCGAGGAGTCGCACTGAACCGTCAGCTTTTGCAAAAATTATAGCTGCAGAGGTTATACCTTGAGCTTTTCTGCTAGTTTACCGCCATGGCCAGTATCTACGAATAGCTGACGCATCTTTGGATCCAACAGAAGAGCATTAGCAACACAGCGCAAGGCAGCTCGACGGATGTCTACAGATTCCCCGTCGACGCCATATTTCGCCAAAATTTCCATTCCCTATGTGGCTGTTAGAAAGGTATTTCAAAAAGAATAGAGCAGAGCGTACCCTTTTTGAATAGATGGGACCGGCATCAGCTGGATTTGTGCCATGTTGTCTCAACTGTAGAAGTAGTTGGACCTTCGCTATATCATGGTTAGACCCGGACGTACTACTCCATTGTGGCTATACCGACCAGTGCTGCCGAGCTTTTTTTCATTTAGGTCCTTTTCTAAAGAGCCCAGTAGTTGGGTGACTTGTTGCAGCTTTTCTAACCATAACAGGTGGTTAGTGTTATTCATGACTATTGTCGCCCGGCTTGCACATACCTGCACCTTGGAGTGTCTGGAAGTCCATATTTCACGTTGCCTAATGTCTCAGGGGTATAAAGCAGCAAGTTCAGTGCGTTCTCACCCTGTGTAACGACTTCAGCTATCGAGAACCCCACGGATAAGCGACTTGTGGAGGCGGGGCTTATTCGAGTAGGAAAGGCTCAGGGTCTCACAGTAAGTCTAGCGCTGTGAGGGGGTTGAGTGATGTCCACAAGATCACCGTGGTGTTTCTGAGACAAGAGCTACATTGCAGATGGACAGAATAGAATAGGCGGGCAGATCAACCCCACCGACGTTCATTCAATCATGATTAGCCGCTTTCTCCGCAAAGACGGCAATGGCGTTTCTTCATATGCATGTATTCAAAGTGGAAAATAGACACTATTTTGTAGAAGTTTGAATGATTTTCCCTTTTCGGAAGAGAGACTTCCCTCTTGCGAAATCCTCAATTATCGCTCATACTCACTTCAAGTAGTGCTCAATTGGGAAGGTTGGTCTGCAGGTTACTAATCTTTGGCTGCCTTGACACCCGAACCTGTCCTTGCGGCCTTGCTGCCCCAGGCACGGGGCGCGCCACTGCCACTTTACGCGTGGTTTGCGCCACAGGCGCGATTTCGGACCAGGGGCGCGTCTTTTTGAATTGGAGTCTTGGCGCGGCCTTAGGAGATCGACTGCTCTGAGGCCCTCACGATTGCTTCAGATCGCCGCAGAAAGGCTTCAACCCGGGCAATGGACATTGCGGTCTGAGTTTACTGCTACCCTGTATCGCGATGTTCCTGACCTTCCTTCCGATCCCATCCTTGTCCTCGTCGCTCGACTTTTTGAAACATGGTGCAGGTTCTTGGTCCATTGTCTGCTCGTCCGCCTACTCCACCCAGGACATCATCTCGTGTGCTACCTGAAAAGGACCACACGCAAGATACCCCGGTTACCGTGAAGACGACGAACGATTCCCCATTACCGGCGTCTGCATCCAATGGCGGTCTCTCCAGTCGCAAATTCAAGCGGGTGAACTTCTCGCCATGGCCAAAATCCCATCCGAACAAGCCAGATCTGAAGACTCTACCTCCTTCGAATGAGTGTAAACCTTCAAAATCAATTCTCAAAACGACCAGCTCGCCCGCACCTGTCAACTCACCTAATGTGACCTCTTACACGCCGGAGTCTTTCGCCATGCTGCTAGAGTCGATCACGCAGCAATTGGCCGGCGAATCGGTCAGTTCAAGACTCGACGCCTATATGCAATTTTTCGGGGCATTGAGAGCATACGATGGGCTTCCTGGAGGGCAGGAAATTGCAGATAAGCTTGGTCTCATCACACAGTTCATCCAACGGGATGTGACTCGGGACCTCGGGAGTGGTGGACCCTCAGATACCAATCTCGTTACTCAGGCTCTGAAGCTGGCCACCGCTTTAGTATGGCACACTGAGATATGTGCCCAGCTGCCGGATGACTTCAAAATCTTTCTTGTCGATCATTCCATCAATGGCTTACAGGACGCCAAACTGCCCAAATCTGTGGCCACCCATTATATGTCGATTTTGTCAACACAGACTTTCCATGCGAAGATCATGAACAACTCCAGACTAAACCGTTTGATGAGCGTATTGCATGAAATCACCAACCGGGTAAATGGGAATGCAATCACCCTACAGCGGTTGGCTATATACCAACGTATTCTCACCCAAAACAAATCATTATTCATCTCTCAAACACCGCTATGGATGAATCACCTCATATCGGGCTTGCTTCACCACATAAAGGACGTCAGAGTAAAGGCCATTTCCCTCAGCTATCAAACGTCCCTGGCATTCGGCCCAAATCCCATTCTATCCAAGAATATTAGAAATAATCTTGACCGCCCCATCGGTCAAGATAGGAAACTAGTGCAGGAGGTCAGCGAAAGAATGTCCCGGATGATGTCAAGCGCGGATACAGGCGTACACGTACCTCAGATTTGGATTGCTGTTATCTTACTTCTTAGGAATAAGAGATTGACTGTCGACCATTGGGAGCATTTAAAAGAATTTACCACTCCTCTGCAGAAATGTTTTAACTGCAGTGATGGGCAAACCAGAGCGCAATCCATTATTGCATGGAACCGTTTTGTTTGTGTCATTGGGCCGAATGATGCAACAAATCCTGCAGTTTTGAAAATACTGATCAGGGCAATCCTCTCTCAACTTGAGCGAAGGAGCCAAAGTAAGCTGACATCACAGCCTAACCAAATGGTGCTGTGCAGCTATTACAATCTCCTGTATTATGCCTTCCGCCCGTCCGCGTCTTTCCAACATCTGGACGTCGTGTGGGAGGAATACCTTGCCATACCCTCCTCGACCACGTTTAGTATGGTTCCTGGCTTAAGCGACAAACTAGCCCAGGTCTTATCTAATATGCTGTGGAGCTCCCAGGCGAAGGTATGGTTGGAGAACAAAGCCAATGAAAGTAATCGCCTTCTCCCGGAGGAGCTTCCTGCACTTGATTGCAGATGGGTACGGTCCAGAATCACCGCTGTTTTGAAGGTGTTCGAAAACATTTTCAGATCTTCTACCTGGTCCGATGACATTGAGCAATCAAGCATTGCCGCTGCCTGGGTCAGTCTTTCTCGAGCCCTGTCGTATGCCTCCAGCAAAGAGATTACCCCGTCTCCAGAATCAATGCAAGCAGTCGCCCACATGCTCGGTCTTCTCCAGCGCCTTTGGAAAGCTGGCCCTGCTTCACTCAACGCTATCGAAGACAATTCCTTGGATATGTTTTTCGACCGATTCAGGTTCCTGTCGACGACCATGATTGTCTCACTCGGAAGCATTCCATTCACTGAGAAACTCCTCCTGAAGACAGCCGATGAGAAGTTCCAAGCTGCCAATACGCCAACACATAGGTCTTTGAGGATCAACGTGAGCCTCGACAGCCCTATTCTACATTTGCTTCGACTAATCAGCGATGTGTCCGGCGTCCGAGAGCCAACTGCTTCGTATCTGCGTCTCATAAACGATACACTTGGCGCCGCATGCAAGGGCAGAACGGCCAGAAGCTCACGCTTAGAGCTTCTCAGGCAGTGCGCAGATTTGTTTCCTAGTGAAACAGAATTCGCTTATAGAACTCATACCTTCGCCCAGGTAGGTTGGAAGTCAACAGCACGACTAGCAGCGGATTCTCTATGCTCTTATCCTATCGAGTCCGCCCGTGAGCGTGACGGGTCTGTTTTGCGCGATTACGATAATGCTATCAAGATCCTCTCTACGGGGTTGAAGTTTTCCGACACCATCCAGGAGTGGGATCAGCTTGTGGACTCGCTTATTCGCGTCGTGCGAACTGAGAAGGGTGACGATGCTATTGCAACAATGGTTGTAGAACCAATCTCTGAGTGTATGATGGCGCTTAGAGTCCAAGATACCTACTTGCCAGCAGCCTCCCTATTCGGCTATTCTCTTTCCATCACATACTGTCATTACAACATTCGGAACACGGGGGTCCCAGTGAGTGGACAAGATGGGCAGGCCAGTGGCAATTCGATATTTCCAGCCAAACTAGTTGAACTAGTGAATCGGATCCTTCGAGAGTCTTACGAGGGCTTCGATCCTACAGGAACCAATGGCATCGCGGACTTTTTAGAATCGTTCACGTCCCTTTTAAGCTCTGGTGTCCCAGCATTTCGCTCTGCGATCCTTGAAACTACTCAACAGCCCCTTGCTCTCTGGTTAAAGGATGACGTGCGCAAGATTAATGTTGAAAGTGGCGTGGAAAGCAGGATTATCACAGCGGTAAGTTTATTAAGCAAGGGATGTGAAAACAAAGGTACTAATAAAGCCAAGGGCCGCGCTCTCTCGTCAGCAGTGATCAGTATCTTGCAAGCTTGTTCACCCCACAATGCCTCCTGCCTACAGAGGTTTGAGCCTATTATATGTGCAGGTCTCGAGTCCTCCCATATGTCTATAGCCAAAAGATTTCTCGATTTCTGGAATTCTTCATTTGGACAACAAAAGTCACTCCCATACCCCGAATCTATATCTCGTGCACTACAACAGCTTGAATCGCAGATCAAGCTTCAGAACTCGGGACAGGGACAGGTACGTGAATTGATACCCGCTTTGGATTCAGAAACTAAATGGTTCCAGGTTGAACGTCCGGCAACATCCCTTGAATCACAAACATTGAATAGTGACCGGGCGGACATGTCTGAAAAATCCCGCATAGCGTTTATTCTAGACCATCCTGTGGAGCCATCCTACCCTGTGGGCTTCAACTCATCTCCTGTCACTAGAGTCATTGAGCCTAGAGTTGCGGAACAGCCAAGTGAAGCACGACCTCGCCGTTCAGCCGAACCCAACGAATCCGATCAAATAGCCGTTGAGGATGCTTCGGTCTCATTTCTTCCACCCAGCGAAGAACCCAAGAAGCGTACCGATGTATTTTCGATGATCGAGAACCTCCGCTCTTCCTCGCCTCCCATAAACACACCGCGAGAATATGGGTTCATGACACCTCCGCAGTTACGTGGTCTGCGTGGTCCCGATCGTGAGTCGGGAACACCCCAAACGCCCACTTTGCCAGCTGTCGTAGCTGACAACGAAGACGGTTTTCTGGGCTCTTCTCCTACTCCCGGTATAAGAGGTCGGACACAGTCTGTGGGATCGCAGATCCCATCGTCGCTATCAACACCAGCAATGGACTCTCGTTTCGACAGTGACGTTCCATCCTCCCCTCCAGAGCTCAAGTCACAGGGTGCAAATGCCCGCAACAAACAGATGTCTCTGACGGCTGCAGCTGTCGAGAACAGAGTGAGCAAGAAAAAGAAATCTAAGAAATCCAAACGTTCGGCATTGAAGGATAAGAAACGACCTGACAGCCAACATACGCAATCCGAAGATGCACGCGAAGATCCCAGTCGAGCAGGAACACCGCTGAGCAGTCGTCTCCGTTCATCTACCGGCAAGACACCCCAGGCAGACGCACAAAGTACGATTGAACCTCAGCCTAACATTCCCCCAGTTAGTGAACCAATTCTTGCTTCGAACGCTTCAAAATCCCATCACGGCTCTCCTGACAAGCCTATGCCTCTTAAATCTACTCCCAAGGATGTCGCCGTATCTGGTGAAATCACGGACGGCTTAGACCCTGCATGTGACTGGATTGCGGATTCTTTCAGTGATGACATGGAGACGCAGATTGCGTCTCAACTAGAGCAAGACCTAGAATTCGCTGTCGATTCGGATAAACCTGATCAAGAACAAGAGACGGAGCTTCCGTCTGAACCTCCGATGACAAGGAAGAGGAAAAGAGATGAAGAAAACGCATCGACACCTTCTAGAGCAGAGCGACGCCGATCGACGAGAAGTTCTGCGAAGGAATGCGATGCTGATATCAAGGAACCTCGGAGAACTCGCTCAAAGAAATCGATGTTGTCGGGCAACGCCCAAGAGGTTGCATCTTCACCGGCTGCGTCAGCGCCGAAGAAGCAAAAGCTCCATGCTAAAGGCGATGCAGATGATGTACCTGCCCGGCTGCCTGATTTACAGCCGGACAGTATCGGCTCTTCTAAAGGCAGTGAGGCCTCTGCCTCTCAGAAACGCAGGTCTTCCCGCCTGAGTGGTAACTCCCCGCTGGCCGTACCAGAGGAAGGCACAGCTCCCAGAAAATCACCTCGGAACGGTCGTTCGCGCAAGCGAAATGCCAAGCGTAAGGGCAACGCATCAAGAGAACCATCTCCGAGGTCAGAGGCTCAGGCCGAAGAGACTGCCACGGCAGCTTCCCATGATGACCACCAGAAAGAAACCCAAGGTTCTTTCGAACAGAATGATATTCAACAACCCGAAGAACCTGCAACCCATACCCCGACCGCCGAGCATACGGCCACGGCTCCTACTAGCGAGAAGGAACCACCTACCGACCAAGAACCTGAAAACGATACCAATATGGGAAATGCGGACGGCGATTCCATTCCCCAAACAAGAAAACGAACCCTCTCTGGAACAACCCAGATGGATGCCCATCAAGAGAATGTCAGCGGCGCAACGGGGATTATCACCTCATTCAGAAACCTGCTGGACGATATTAAATCGGCCACCTTGGACCGAGATGCTATTCGGCAAATTGATGACTTGATGTTCGAGATCAGGGTTGAAACGGGCGAGGCCCTAAGGAGACATACTGGCTAATCTTTCATATGCATAGCGAAGGCGTTGAATTCTTTCATGTTATCTTCTATATCTTATTGCTTGTGTTCAGACTTTCCTGGTTATGTTGGAAAAGGTCATTATCATTTTATATTTTCTTGCGATGCCTCTTTTTGTTGGTTTGTCTATTTTTCAATTCTTTGCTTGACGCCGCACGATGGAGGCTATGGTAATTGATACGTACAAAAAGGATATTGGACGGGACATTAGTGTTGGCATTTGGTATCCATGCATGAATATATCCATTTATAGAGAGCGACTGTTGATTGATCCTGTGCGGTGCGAACCGATTCAAGATAACTAGTAGACAGATATATACGAGGCAACGAAGGAGGCTGAAAAAGACATGGAAGAGAAGATAAGTCTAAGTGCATCGAAGACGCTCTGAATTATATAAAGATATATGAATTTCTTACCTCTTGGTTTTGCTTAAGTCGTGGGTAATTAATTATTAATTCTACCGGAAATGGTTGTGTCTCGAACGCGATGATATAAAGGCAGCCCCACGTGCCCCACCGTTGTTGTCTGTACTTTTCGGTGGTCCCCCGCATTGCATCAGTCGTCACCTCTTCCAGTTCTCATAAGATCGTCTTGTTATAGTATTTGTCTACCATGGACCGTTCTAACAAGCCTTCAGCCATCGGTGTGGGTGCATCTGTGCCTCAGCCCACCATCTCTCTCCGCGACAATACTGTGGAAGCCACGCTGCCCACCGGCGAATCTGTTACGATCCACCTGTACGGAGCTACTGTCACTTCCTGGAAATTAGCAAATGGCAAAGAGCAATTGTTTGTGAGCGAGAAGGCTCATCTTGATGGTTCGAAGCCAATTCGAGGCGGTATCCCCGTGGTGTTCCCTGTACGTCCCTCAGGCCTGGATTCGGACCGCACTCTAGAATAACTAACCAGATCTGTTGGTCAATGTGTAGGTCTTCGGTCCTCCTCCTCAGAACCACGCTACCTCGTCCCTTCCACAACACGGCTTTGCGCGTAACAGCACTTGGGAATTTTTGGGCAAGTCGTCATCGGAATCCCTAGGCAAGGATCGCAGCGGAGATGGCTCCGTCAAACTTGACTTCGGCCTCTCCCGTCCCATGCTCACAGAAGATTTCCAGAAGGCCTGGCCATACGACTTTGGACTGGTATATAGCGTTACTCTGACCAAGGAGAGTCTGGAAACGTATCTCCAGGTTCAGAACAAGGGTAGTCAGAACTTTGACTTCCAGGTGCTGATGCATACGTATCTCAAGATCGACGTAAGTCCCTGGGAATCACTGGTTTTATCATCAAGTTTTAACATCTCGGCACCAGGACATCTCCGACATCCGCGTCAAGAACCTCGAATCCAAGACCTACGTCGATAAAACACAGAACGCTGCCGTCATCACCGAAACTTCCCCTGCCGTTGAGATCAACAAGGAAACCGACCGCGTATACCAGTCATTGGACCCAAAGGTGCCTATTGTTGTTTCGTCCGCTAGTGACGATAAGCCCATCTTCGCGATTACCAGGGAAGGATTGAATGATGTCGTTGTGTGGAACCCGTGGATTGAGAAGGCCAAGGGCATGGCCGACTTTGGCCCGGATGAGGCATACAAGAACATGATCTGTGTTGAAGCAGGCTCCGTGGCTGGATGGCAGACTTTGGAGGCCGGTGACTTCTGGGAAGGCGGACAGACCATCCGACCGAAGCTGTAGAGGGGTTCAATCAAGTCTCGACTTTTACGATATATGGTTAGATAGCTGGCTGCATCCTCTCTCTTCAAGCTTGCAGGTGGAGAATATGCGCGAGACACGACAGAGTACCTTACCAATTTAATGGCGTTGTAAATAGACCGCCCAGTACCAACTCTGACCTTTAAAATATATTGACGATTTCGGTATCATACCTATGACTATACCTGCCGTCTGATGTATACAATCAAGTCGTAGAGCAGCGTTAATGCAATACTGAGGTCCTCTGTAGTCACGCCTGTCGCGAAAGGCGCACCAGACTACGGTCATAACCATCGACACTACAATAATGACACAAGTATAGGCAATTCATGTTATGCGCCGTGGCGGGAAGAACAAGTGGAAAACAGAGGAAAACAATGGTCACCAGAATATGCAATACGGCAACAGCAGTGTCTACTGCACCACTACTTTTAGGACCTCCCATCTATCGATTTTCTCGATATGACTAATTTTATAGCAGAGAATACTGTGTAAAAGGCTTGAATATTCTCAGAGAGTGGATATTTGCGTGACACTTCCCTATATTCGTACTGAGTTGTATACTGATAGCCAGTAGACTTAGCTACACTTCCTGGAACTCCTCTTATAGAATAACTTGCTACCGAGTAAGTCATATAGCATAATTGGCATTCCCGGACAAAGAATGATATACTTTGAGTGAGATATCACCTACCCACCCAAAGATTCATAAGTGGTGCTCTAGTGTTTGACCAACGAAGATGTGAGCTTGACAAGAGCTCACATCCACGGTTGCACGGGACGGGCTATTGAGTTTTGGCTGCACTTTGCTAAAATAAGAGACGAATGAAGTTGCACTGTCCCTGGCAAAGCTTCCATACGCCAGCCTGTGACCAAGGTTCTGATTAGAGTTGGGAAGGTGGCGAGGAAGAGGATGGCGATCAGTCCGATTACGCCTGCGCTGGATCCGTTGGCTTGTATATAGATTTCGGCCGTCGGGAAGACTGCTATTTGGCTGTTGAAAATGGCGTCCAGGTCTTGGATGGAGTAAAATAGGGCGATCATGTATATAAGGCTGTGGTGAAGGCTGTCAGCATCTGGAGCACGATGCCTCGGGTGACTTTCAAATCCTCGCAGATCGAAGATGCGAAAGCAAGATTATCATTGGCCTGGAACAGTGCATGCTGTTCTCGATGTGGAGCATCAAGATATGCATGTTGATGTTTTTCTGGCCGTTGATTGCGAATATTCCCTTCCTGTGTCTTTATTTCGAGGCTGTGGCCGTTTATGTGGCCGTTGGCTTCATTGTGATCATTGTAACTTACTACGCAGTGTATTCCAGGCATTTTAGGCAGTACTGGCAACTTCCAATAGAGGATATGCAGTGTGCAACCTATCAACATTACTCTACTACTTAAGCCATCCTTACATGCTAGTTGTACCCATCCCACTATTACGAACGAAGACTCAGCTAAAATCCAGGAGAGAGTTCATGCTCAATTGTATCAACAAAGTTTGTAACTTTGCACTCCTCAAACGACAACTTATCAGATATGGCAAATCCGAGAAGCAAATATCAGCAATATATGTGGCCAACCTGATATGTTTGTCGCCCCTCCTGCGTAAGTTAATTGGCATGAAGGTATTCCAGTCCAATAGTAAGCATTATCGGCAACATGGCGCTCATCTGATCAAGGAATCAGCCGGCGCCTCAGTCTCCAGGAACTACGATCAGCTTGCAGTCACGACCATCGTTCTCAATCACACATCTTTATTTAAGCAGGCTCGGGAAGGGGGGGGGTCAAAAGCGTTGTACCCAAAGGGCCAACGAGATGCGTCCGATTCAGGAGGCAGTGAACAAACCGGCGGTTAGCCGTCTGGATACCAAGGATGTCATTCTTCAACAGAGCATAGGCCTTGGAGAGCCATGGCGCAGTCAGTGTAAGATGCATGTGTCTTATGACCCTGTGGCCAGAAATATTGAGCATGTCGATCACCACTCCAGCCTGAAGTTTGGGTAAGGCAGTACAACCGATGAGAGTAAGCGGCCAATACTTGACGAAACAGCGGGCCTCGTGGGTGGACTTCTCGGGGCCAAACTTCACAACATCTAGATTGCCAGCTTTGGCCTTAGGCCGAGCGGGAGACTCGTAACCTTTGAGCACATTAACGATGCATCGAAATAGATATCGCCTCAGATTGTCCTGGGAAAAACGTCACTTCTGATCATTGCTGCCCTTGGAACGGCAAGAAAGGGGAATGGTGGTGCATCCGTTTCCTCTGTATCCCTTGCTCCATGGTCACCGAAGCTCTTATTACACAGAGGGCAGCTTGCACGTCGTCTAGTGAGCCACGGGTCCACGCAGGAAGAGTGGAAAATGTGCCCGCATGTCAGAGGCCGAATATAGGTTTCACCCTCAATCGAGTCCATGCAAATGGCACATAAACAACCCGACTCGCTGGCTGCATCATCGCTGCCATGCTCACAAGCATTCCCCGAGTCACAAAAATGCTCTTGTGCCTTGTCTGATTGAGTGTTCTCAGTAGAATCTGTCTTCTGGGCATGTGCTTCAGGAGCGAGAATATCTGTCTCATTGCCTTTGGCGTCTTTTGATACCGAACCCAGCGACCCAATAGTTTCTTTCGCGATACTACCTTTTCGACTTTGGCCCGCCCACCAGTCGCTGTATTTCATCTGCGGGAACTGCTTGTCGACGTCGCCACTGGATATGACCGAGTGACCTCTTCGAAATGGAATGCTCTCCAGATCCAGGAAGTGAGAGTTCCGTTGGTTTCTTCTATAATGGCGGTACCTTAATCCAATGACGAGCCTGTTGAACGGACACCAAATCAACACAGGTATCGCGCGATTTGCGATGGAGCTACATACCAGACACTGATCACTAGAATACCGGCGCCAATTGGCGCAAGATATCCTAAAGCCGGGGGAGACTCTCCCATGGTAGATATGACGCAACCGTCATCAGTTGGACAGAGAGGGTACGAGAGTTACATCAATGAAATAGCTTCATACGCATGGGAGTTTATTGTATCACCTGAAGGATAGTTTTCTGTTTCTTGTAGTCTTATAAGGCCTGGCAGCTGTGGAGAAAAAGGAAACTCACCGCATGAGCTAATGACATGTATATTAAACAAAGATACGAGCTGGTGGTGTCAACGGGCCAACCCCGCAGACTTACCAGATCATGACTCGTTGGTTCCGTCCTTAAGCTGCACAGCCATAAAGAACTGGGATGATCATTGGATCAAGAGTTCGCGACGAGTTCGGGCCCTTGGTTAAGCTGTCATGTGCCCGTAGTTCTCCAAATCCAGACTAGTTCTCGAAGCTCATCCATTTGGAAACGATACTGGCTGCCTCAGGGTTTGGTTTAAAAGAAAAGACCTTTACGGCCTCCCTAGCAAGGTTTTGTCGACTATGGAATGTTGGAGAAACTATGCATACTGTTATATAGGTTGTATAGTGTTTATAAATGCACTATAAGTTCTATTCTCTAATACAGTGATAGCCCTAAAATATCTATATATCGTATATAGAATATTTTATTGTTTTTCAAAGCAACTTCAGAATCAGAAGAGCCGATGTAGTGTAGTGTCAATCACACGTCCTTCAGGGATCTCTAGCCCTCAGTCTCATAGCTGTAGTTATTTTTTAAGTATTTTTTGGACTAACTCTGTAAATTCTCTATTTTTGTGGTATAGAATATACAGAAATTGGCAGTTATAATACTGATTATAACACTGTAGTCAGATAAATAACTTCTATTATTATTGTAACGGCGGGTTCTACATAAGTCAGTTCCAGGGCTTCGGGATCGTTGATCCCGAATTATTCTGACCTTTTGGCCTTGTGGAATAGGGTGCCCTGGCTCTATCTCTTACAATTATATTTTCACCGTGAGAAAGATGATCAAATTAATTAAATTAGAATTACTTTATTGTAGGGTCGCTATATAAGCCGAGTGCCACAGTTAGTTAGTTAGTTAGCTTTAGCCTTTAGTAATATATCTTTGCTCTTCTCATATGTCATATTATTCAGGCCCGAAAATGTTTATAAGCATCGTCATACCGCATATTGATAAGTTTAATACTATATGATACGGAGCTCAATCAACATAGTATTGATAGCTAAAATCTAGAACACTAAACGTGGGGAGGAAAGAAGAAAACAATGCGAGCGACGTGCGCAGGCTGCCTTGTATAGAAAGAAACCCAACCAGCCAATCAGAGCTCAGAGACACCAGCCGCTGTCAGGACTGTCACACTATATGGTTCTTATGTTTTGAATAGCATAACCATCTTCAATTTTGGAAAAATTATGGGGAAAAAAAAAATGGTTAAAATATAAAAGAAAAAGAAACAGAAACAGAAAAAGGAACTCTCTACTGGAGTGTAAGTACATTGAGGTCAACATCGATCTCTCCCTCCTCCCCTTCTCCCCCCTGGGGATTAGGAGGGGCGGGGTGCTGGGGGAGGAGACGGAGGGGGTGCATCACCAGCGCGGGGGGCACTAGGGGGCACCACCGCCACCACGGCGGCCACGGTGGCCACGTCGCCGTCGCCGGGGAGGTGGGACAGCACCGACAGTAGAAGCCTAGTATATAATTAGTCTTTATTCAAGGAGAATGCATAGTTGAGCAGCTAACTTGTCCCTGAAGGAATGTGTTAGTATCATGCATATATATATTGCTAAGAGAAGCTTACGATAGCGCACAATCCTCTGACAAGGTCCGCGGCTCTCTGGCGACAGATGCTGGCTGGATGTCCAAGCCTTCCGCCATAGTTGCACTATATATTATTAGTGAAATACTTTAGCAAAGTAAAGAGGATCTTCAAGACACAACCACTGTCCTGTCAAGAGAGCTTGAAAGGAACAAGTAACCGTTCCTGTCCAGGACAGAGAGGTAGTGCCTCGAAGCCTGGTCCATCCAACCAAGTGCTTCAAAATAAACTCAAAACAAGAGGAGCTGTTACTCACACGGGTATGAGGCCACATTCAGACCTCAAGTGGTCGAGCTGGTCTTTGGCTACCGCGAATTGGGCTATGGATCCGGGTGTGAACGTATCGAGCACGATCATGATGACCGCCTCAAGAAAGCGGATAAGCCACACTATCCGCATTTTCGATCCCAAGCTCTAGCATATCTCGAAGGGAAATAGCAACCCCGCTAAATTGGGGCTTTCTGTTTGTCTTCTCTCAGATGTACCGATAATGTACACCTGTTCTGGACTCGGCTTGTTGGACCCTGCTTTTATGTTGCGGAATTCGCTCGGCCAAGCATGCTATAGTCGACCCGGTATAGAGTCTGCCTTCTTCGCAGGGACTACTGACATAATCCAGACACACATAATTTTCTCTAAGCGAAGGGCCCACCCTCGGAAGAGCAAGAATGTGTTGGCCGGTCAGTTTATCGTGGCCCAGAATCGGTGGGTAGACTCAGGAATTATCGCCAGATATAAGCGAAATACAGCCTCAGGGTCTGCTTTCCGTAGTCAATTGTACAAGCCCTTTGCGACCCAGGATTCGGGACCTGAAAGTTCGCCAAAAGGGGTATTTTGAGCATAGTTACACAGGTACTTGATAACTCTGTGCATGCTTTTGTCGAAGGTCTCTCGGAGAACCTTGTGATCCTCGACTTCAGCATAGTAACCGGCAATGTCCTCATACTTCAGATTGTCGGGGTACTCCTCGTCATCGATAAGGATAACATCAACACCTTCCGGGTTGAAGGGGACTTCTTCGGGGATGCCATGGAGGGTATGTTTGAGCTCTTCGTGGTCTTCACAGACACATTGGCTGCATGCTTAACAGGCTCTTCTTTGTTTATTTTAGTCTGACTTGCTCGAGTTCTTTGCTACAGCTTCAGTCGGAGAAGGATGTTTTCCGGCTGTAGTGCAACCGGTTTATAGAAGCTCAGACTTGTAACCGGCTTCTTCAGTATATCTCACAAGATTGAGGATACTGAGATGGTTAGATGAAACGTAGTTCATCTCCTTCTCGCCCTGGGTTTTATCTCTAGTTCCAGGGAATTTAGGGACCTGACAGAGTGAAGATTGGTCCTCGGCTCTTGAAGGCATTAACTTCTGATAACCCTGACGAGGTGAAGTTCTCTCCTCGACCTCAGCGGATTTAGTCTGTCATCATTCATCAACTTCGCCCCTGTCGTCGGCACTGTCAGTATGTTATCAATTTTCACTTATTCCACGTGAAGTTTGTACTTTTACATCTATCACCCCAAACTGAATGTCACCTAGTGTGCAGTAAACAATCTACGCCTACTAGTGTCTGTAGTCAGGAGTACAGTAGATGCTTGGGAAAGATCGAACTCCAATCACAATTATCCGTCCTGGATGTTGGTTTCCTCCTCAATAGTTTATGTGGCTACAAGACTATATTAGTTCATGATAATTCAATTGCTTTGATCGAAGTCCACATCCTTCAGGATATGACAGGAAAAGGAGGGATATTTTTCAAGTAACTCGGTACGATAAATTAGCTTTTTTACTGTCCAGAATATAGATAAATCTATCAGCGTAATAATATTATTATGATTAGAAAGGCAGTCAGCCCTGGCATATATTGGATAGCTCTCGCTCTGGGCTGTCTCTATGTAAAGTGTTGAGTCAGGCTGCTGGCTAGCCCTAGTCACGTTATTACCAGGCTCACTACCTGTTACCGCGCAAAAACTACAACCTGGAACTACGAATCATATTTGAGTAAAATATCGACTCATATATAGCTGAATCGGTATAAAAAGGCCTGTTTACAATATCTGCAAACGGTTGTGACTTGAGGGTACTCATTATGTTATGCTTTTTGGGCTCCAGATGAGCCCATTGGGCTACGGGTTATGCTCTCGATATCCCAGGGAATTGGCCATAACTTGTAGTATATTTTGCTTGACGAAGTTCAACATATGTTCGCTAGTTCCAGTGATATGGTATAAAAGAAAAACGGAAGAGTAATACAGGGTCATTAGCTCCCCAATCATCCTGGATAGAGAAAGGTTTAAAAGCGTGGAAATCAACCTGAGGGAGTGACATGCCCATGTTTTCCGTCTCTCGTTTCATTGTATTATTCACCTGTAGGTCTAGCAGGCTAGCACGATAGTGGGGAAACAGTAAGTCCTAGGCATTGGTCTCCACTTAGGTAGACTAACTCGTAACAACTTTCAGATGCATGCGTTTTGCCATTTTCGAGGTAGGAGAGAAGAAAAAGGTTATAGATTATAGGTAAACTTGTGTTTTCATTAAGGGGATATTCTGTCCTCTCAACAATTCCCTACAATTGCGCTTGTAGACTAGGACTCTATGCAAAAATACAAAGAAAAATGTATATAAAATCTCAAAAAAACATGAGAGATTGCGGGAACGGGGGTTCGAACCCCGGACCTCATGCTAGTCACGTGGGAAGCATGCATCATAACCTCTAGACTACACCCGCTGCTCTTAGTTGAAGCTGAGAAAGAAGCCAAATATCATGTATAGATTGTATAGCTTTCTTAGGGCTTCGGTCCCATGGATTCGGGTATTTTTAAGATTTATAGTGGGTCTACATCTTAGTCCGACATGGTAGCTTTACTGTGGATCTATTTCTACCTAGTTTGTCTAGTTGTGGTTGCTATTATCGTGTTTTCAAGTTGTTATCTGCTTTGATATTAGGGCACCACATCCAGGTCGTCGGAGGTGAGGTCACTGACAGACTTTTACCTTTTCATGTGACCATGCGATCATGTGACCATATGATTTTCGAGACTCATTGCGAGAGTACTTTCTACAATTAACACTTCAGCAATACAATAAAACTATCAACTGATGATTCGGATCGTTGGAAAGACCCTCGATCTCAAACCTTATGATATCTCTACGTACTGCAAAAGGCCGTGCTTGTCAAATTGAAGAACCGTTACAATCTACACAAGAAACGCGTTATGCCTCTGTCACCGTATACTCAAGTTTTAGCACTTGTTTATGACTTGATTGAATATTTGAATGTATTTTCACCACTGAATCGCTGAGACTACCTCACATACTCGGAGTACTTCTGGGGGTAGTTAGACAACCCTAGTTAGCAAGGATGAAGGAGGCCTGAGGCTTTCGAGATGATAAGTAAGCCTGCTTACAATTCGGGGTAACAATGGAAGCGTCAAGCACATACTACCTTAGTATCTGACTTCCATGTGTTTTACGTCTCCAGACACATTTCACTCGTGACTGCTATCGTATATATTTATCAAGCTTCCCCTTAATCCTCTGCACCCCTTCTACTTCGCTCCACTCGGGATACAAATCACAGCATCCAGCTGTGAAGTCGCAGCCTTGATGTTCTCTTCTATCCGTGTACAGTGCATCTTAACAAATTTCTCATAGATGCCCTTAATGTGAAAAGCTGACTGGAAGAAAAGCCTTCTTCCGGAATCACGCAGTAGTGTTGACACAGTATCCGGCAACTGTCGTGATGTTTCTTTGGCCTTGATTGCATTCTCAAGGAAACACCGGTCGTCGCTAAAGCTTTCTCCTTCGGCAAGCCCGTTATTCCTCCATCCCGGAATATCTGCAATGAACCAAGGGTGATGGATCACAGCGGGAAGCGGTGCGAGCGATATACAATCCTAGTCGATAACCCTGGAATTCAAGTCATCCATTAGAAAAAGTCTTTAAAGCAAAGATCAAGGAATACAGCACATTCTTACCCTGTCAAGTGGAAGTCATTGTCTTTTATGATATTGTACGCATTCAAGTCCCCATGGGCGAAGCCAACATCTGTGTACTTGTCATAATCACCAGCATAGCCTGGGATCATTGATCTCATGATCAGATAGTCGATGGCATCACCCCATCTAGCAGTTCCGGTGAGAGTTCGTCGGAGACCTCGGTCTAGGCTCTCCGTAAGCCAAGCTGAATAACGGGGCTTTGACTCTGGCATAAAACCAGGGGGGCTGCGGTGGTCCATAACTGCAGTAGGAACTCCGCAAGGGCCTCGAGGAGCCTTTGGCGTTTGTTAAGAGGGATCTGGGAATTCCAAACCGCCAGCGGTTCGCCACTAACCCACTCTGAATATAAGACAGGGTGTTCTGCCTTGAAAAACATACCTGGCGCTTTGATGTCTGGGTGGCTGTGTTTGATGTGCTGAAATATCTTAACAGCACGCAATTCATACTTCCAATTGTTGGGATCATGGCAGACACGAGCAGCCCACTGTACGGAATCTTCAAAGACGACCTTGAACACTTTGTGCGAGCCACCCTGACAGGGGTCTTCATCAGCAAGTGAGCACTGAACTCCCTCACGAAGGCAGCGGGCTTCAGAGAGAAGACTTGAGGGGTTCACCATTCCTGGAAGATCAAATAAAGCAAGAGCCAGTTGTGTAGATGGGTGAGGGCTGATGATGATAACACTGACTTGGGCAGGTTGCTATGAGAGACGGTTTGTTTTAAGCATCATGATCTGCTTTGTTCACCCCAGAATTGCTATAACAGTGGGACAAGATATATGTCACAAGCATGTCAGCCACCAGCAGCCAATCGGAAGTAAATAAATACATCCCAGAAAGGCGGCTTTGTGCATAACATGATGCTGATAATATTGTGCAACCAAAACGAAGCTGCGATGTCTAGTGAATGGCATTGAAGAGGGCAAAGTGATGACCAAAACACCTGGTACAGTAGTTATAACTTGCACCAACATATCGATATGATATTACGCAGTCATCATTCCAAATATCTTGTGCTCAGATTGTATGTGCAAAGTCGTGATTGGAATGTTCGATGTCTATTGTATGCTATATTGAAAGAATTTCTGAAAAAGAAATTCTTTCTCTTGCGAGAATCGTACTATAAACTTCAATCTGATCCGTTTCTACGTCTCTAGGAAAGCCTTGCAGATGCCGTTGCATATCTCATATTTCTTTGAAGAACCAGATATCGACATGACTAATTCTTTAAGAAGGCCTTCAGAATGGCAGCAACCTGGAAAGAGAATAGGAATCAGAACCCAGGTCCTTCCGCGCAGCCTCCTAAACTACTTGCTACGAATAGAAAGCCCACCATAGCTTTTACAAATGTTTGCTAGCATCGTAAAGAGAGGAGATGCTATGAAAGCAACTGAGTCATATGTTTCTGAGAAGTACATGACTATACATTGCTGAAAATGCAAAGTTGATATGTGCATAAGAGATTAGGAAGAAGCAGAAAAGAATGGTTTTATAGAACACAAGTGAATGAAAGCTCGCATAGCCACTATATCAAGTATTCTTCCGTGGTGATGCAACTCCATTGGATTTGGAGTGAGCCTGGCTGTGGAACCTACCCATTCACGGCGCTGACTTCTCAGGCTATTCAAAGTGAGTTCTTTAATACTCCTTCTCAAAAATATCATATACTGAGTTTTCTATAATGGTATGCTTCGCATAGTGGTATTTTCCATCCTGTCAATTCTCATTGATCTTAGACTCTTCAATTAAGTACATGTCTTTTCTATGCTCAAATCTTCAACCCATCGTGTGACATTAGATCCATATTCCTCCACACTCCAACATCCTAGATTCCTGGTTAATTACGCTTCCAAGTTAGCTGGAATCTCGCGGGACCTCTTCACAAGTCACTGGAATCCTGCCCACTATGGACTCTATCAAAGGGTGCAGTGATACATGTCTTCCAAGCTATTACAGTGGCGATAAAAGCATAAATTGCACAAGAATCATGAAGTGAAGGAAATTAGCTTCACTCTAGTATAGCTATGGCTAAGGCCAGCTCATTCATAACTTCCATTAACACCGATGCTCCCTACATAGAAAATAGCGTGGCAATAGAATAGATGCTATTGCGGCTCCTGGCCTCCGTAGTTTTATGACAGCCGAGTCGTAACAAGTGCTACATGCTGTACTAGGGCTTAATATATTATAAGATTCTGCTCATAAACACCGGCTTATTATACGGGTTTTCAGCCTTCAGGGTGGTCAATCGCTCAGGGGCGTCCCACTTGCTACCGAAAGGGCACAGAATGTATAACTGCAAGAATACGGCTCACTTCAACTTGCTTAAAGCAGTTTTCCTCGAGTTTTCTAGGTGGAAAAAAGAAAAAAGACGAACAATCTAGTATTGCAGCATCATAGCAATGTGTATGCAGGAATAACCAACATCAGCTATACACGTAACTCAGGTGAGACAACACTGGACATTTGCAGACTCATACAGCATGGCCCAGCGTATGCTTCTATGGGGATGGAGACAAAGTCTTGGCCTTGACAATAGAGGTTGTCTTGAAGCAATCTCATGACTTAAGCATGGTGATGGTGTTAGACAAGCAGGAAGCACTACCAGGGTCATCTCCAGGCACCGCAGTCCAGACCAGACGTTTCTACGCAATTAAATTACACATTACAAGTAGTCAGTAAGAATGTATGGGCAGCAGGTGACTCCGGCCACCATCGCGACAGACCCCCGAAGGAACCCAGCACGGTAGAGGAGCCTTAAGTTGCCCACTTCAATCTTGTTCGCCAATATGACCCAGATCCTGTGGGTATACCAGGTATGTAGGTTGATTATGCGATCGTTACATTAGATTACTCTAATGTGGGTAAAAGTGTGAGAAGAAAAAGAAAACAAGCAAAGGTTGTCGGTTGAAGAGATTTTTATATGTTCCTGGCACGTGATGGGGTGGGTACTGGAGAGGAGGTTGGGAGTTGGTAACTTCTACCTACAAGACACACAAGATATGTAATTCATGTTGTATTGATATGAATACAAAAGGGAAATTTAGTGACTACACTACTATTCTATTTGGATATTCATCAGTGCTCCATACCCAACAATACGTACGAAAAACGAACGTACACAGAGAGGAAGATGGGACTAACGATTAACCGAGGCCGTATAAGTCATGTGACCCATTTTCCGAACTTTTCTTCCGAAACTTGGAGCAAAAACGAAACTTCCTCTTCTCCTCCCAACATTGGCTCAGCACATGGTGCTTCTATGTTTGAGCACCATAATCTGACTCTCCATTGTTGAATGCCTTCAATGATCGACAAGCAATCCGTAGAACTTATCACATGGATATATCTAGCAACCGAACAACCACACAGTGCGCGTCTAGCCTTTTCAATGGCGAAGAGGCATACTTTTTTTTTTGTTCGTTCAGTGGGAGATCAAAACCAAACAGCTTTTAGCAGGGCTGCGTCTACTCCACCCTGGTGTTCGCTTTGATCGAACAGCAGGACTATTTTTACGACGAACATCTTAAAATCTCAATATCTGAGGGATAGGTCAGATATCTCTGTAGTGACCTTGTAACGTAGTCGGCTGGAGAATGAGGATTTGCAGTGGAATTCCGGACCGCAGGGTATCCATGCCTCTTACGGATATGAGAATGTTGGTCCGGCCGAAGGCAGCGAGAATGCCAGTTGGCAATTCCGACGCCAGGTTAGTAATGCGAGGGGTCTGGACGAATTCAATAATCCTCGGCTACTTCACGCAGAGTGGGTCGCGACCACCAAACAGCATGTCGCAATTATTAATGGACGACGGCGATGTTTTGACCATGTGGAGCCGACCTGGATATCGGGTTGATCTTGATCGTGAGGTCGACGTCTTCCCACAGAACATGTGTTGGCTCAATCCAAGTTGAAAGACGGATCATACTACTGTGAAGTTCCGGTCCTAGAGCCTAGCTGACGAGGGGTTGAAGCAAAGAGCCATGGATCGGAGGGTTGTTGCCACGGCGAGAGCCAATGCGCAGTCGAGCTTCTCCGCATTTCTGTAGCTCTGCTTCCTTAGTTTACTAAGTAGACATTGATGAGTAAAAAGGCTCTGGTCCAGCCGGAAGCTCTTGCCCGCTGTGATTGGTGCGTCTCGCCTTTCGATGACATTCGGACTCTGGAAATGCCATTCGGAAGTACCTATTAGTAGTATCCCTGTCCTGTTCTCCTCTCCTTTTATTCATTCATTCATTCCTTCGTCTTCCTTCTTCTCGACTTCATCTGTCGTTCCCTTCTTGATCCATCTCCATCCCCTTTGTATCATCTATTTTACCTTCTAAACACCCTTCACAATGGCTTCGGCTGCTAGAACCGCTTCCCGGGCCTTCCTCCGGTCGACCCCTTCCGTCAGACCTGCTGTCCGCAGCACGCGTTTCGCTCTTCCCACTCAGGCCTTCCGTGCTTCCGCCCGTCGCGGTTACGCTTCCGAAGCGGGTGAGGCCAAGTCCAGCAACACCTTCCTCTGGGCTGGTCTCGCTGTTGCTGGTGGTGCTGGTGCATACTTCTACCTGCAGGGTGGTGATTCCGTCAGCTCCAAGAACTTCGTCCCCACCAAGGAGGACTACCAGAAGGTGTACGACGAGGTTGCTCATCGCCTCGCCAACGAGACTGACTATGACGATGGCAGCTATGGACCGGTAAGCCTTCCAAATCCAATTCGGGTAAGCTATGGTACTAACGTGAACTCTCGTAGGTCCTCGTCCGTCTGGCATGGCACGCAAGTGGCACCTACGACAAGGAGACTGGTACCGGTGGTAGCAACGGTGCCACCATGAGATTCGCCCCCGAGTCCGACCACGGCGCCAACGCTGGTCTCAAGACCGCCCGGGACTTCCTAGAGCCTGTCAAGGCCAAGTTCCCCTGGATCAGCTACTCCGATCTCTGGACTCTGGCTGGTTCCTGCGCCATCCAGGAGCTGGGTGGCCCTACCATCCCCTGGAGACCCGGCCGCCAGGACAAGGACGTCGCCGCCTGCACCCCTGACGGCCGTCTGCCTGACGCCGCCAAGGACCACCAGCACGTCCGTGACATCTTCTACCGCATGGGATTCAACGACCAGGAGATCGTGGCTCTGATCGGTGCCCACGCCCTCGGTCGTGCCCACCCTGACCGCTCTGGTTTCGACGGTCCCTGGAACTTCAGCCCTACTGTCTTCACCAACGAGTTCTTCCGTCTGCTGGTCGATGAGAAGTGGCAGCCCAGAAAGTGGAACGGCCCTGCCCAGTTCACCGACAAGACCACCGGAACTCTGATGATGCTCCCCGCCGACATGGCCTTCGTCAAGGACAAGGCATTCAAGAAGCACGTTGAGCGCTATGCCCGCGACAGCGATGCCTTCTTCAAGGACTTCGCTGATGTCTACGTCAAGCTCCTCGAGCTCGGCGTTCCCTTCGAGAGCAAGCCCGAGGATCGCTTCGTCTTCAAGACCTCCGAGTAAGCGGTCTCCATGCCCTGATGTCGCATCGTTTTTGGTTGGATTTGGTTACAGCGCACTGTTCCTTTTTTTCTGTTTTGATATCCGGCGTGTCATTTAGATACTGGCCATCAGCGATGGTTCATATTACTTTGCCATGTATATGTGGAGGATATCCACCAGGCAACTGGAAGTTTGGTAGAAAAAATTAACTCTTTGATTCACACACTTACATCAAACTATTGATAAAGCCGGGCTGCCAAATAGTATTGGTATGTCATTATACAAGAATAAACGGCGCGTAGCATTCGCAATTGGGAAAAACATGGGAGCAAGTGGCGGCGGTCACAGCCGACATTGCGGAAAGTCTTGAACTTCAATTTCCGCCGCCAACCCACCATCCAACCCATATTAACTACAACATACACTCCTTTGGGCTCCCCCTACAAACAAACTTTAGAAAAACTACACAAATGAACTAAACACCCTCATCAGAGAAACTCAAAATGACCCGCTCAAACGCAGTCACACACGACTACTACGAAATCCTCAACATCCAATCCACAGGAACCACCGCCCAACTCTCCAAACAACAACTCAAACTCGCCTACCATAAAGCCCTCCTAAAACACCACCCAGACAAAGCCTCCTCTGTCGCAAAGAGCCCCGAGCTCCCCCAGTCCAACCAAGACCTGCCGCGCGACAGCAAGACCTACACAATCGACGAGATAACAACCGCCTACAAGACCCTCTCCGACCCGCAGCTCCGCGCGGAATATGATCGCGCCTTGCGCCTAGACCGGGCGAAGGTTGTTGAGCGCGAGAAGACGGGTGCGGTGTTTCACACTGGACTCGAGGTGGTTGATCTCGAGGATCTGGCCTGTGAAGAAGAGGGCGACTCGGCTTTCTGGTACAGGGGCTGTCGGTGTGGTGACGAGAAGGGGTTCTTGGTGTCGGAGGAGGATCTGGAGAGGGAGGCTGAGCATGGGGAGATTGTTATTGGGTGTCGGGGGTGCAGTTTGTGGATGAAGGTTTTGTTTGCGGTGGAGGAGGATGGCTGAACGGTGCTATTTCGGTTTGAGGGATTTGATATTTTGGGGGCCTTTAGCCTCTCGAGATGCGAGCCATGGCCTTGCACTCTGCCGCTGCCACTCCGGGTTATGGTTGTGATGCAGTACCGCTCGTGTCTTTACTCGGTCACGGATGCATATGAAAACGCCCAAGGGATAGTGCGAACGCAGTCCCGTTATACGGCGTCAGGTTGAATGACTGAGAGTGATAGATCGCTGAGCTGATGTGGTGTCTTCGAGAAGGGGGGGAAGGGGGGTAAGGCTCGTGTACAATGTGCATGTTGTTATTAGCCTACTGAGAGGCACCTTGTGCATGGAAATATATATAGCATGTACGGGGGTACCAGATATAATTTGTTGAGAATATATATCAAACATACCCAGCTTCATAACAAACAACGCTCATTGTAGCTAGAATCCATTCAATACTATAAAAACCAGGAACAGGTAATATTCACCTAATTACGTTACACATTTGCAAGTGAATCTACGTGTAGCGTCACTGCAGAATTGTTTTTAAGCCTCTGCGGCGAAACTGCGGAGGGGCTGTGATGACATATATTGACCGAACATCAACTCCGCCCCCTCTTCTTCCTTCCCTCCTCTCACTCCTCATTCGACCGCCACAATGACGAGCACCGTTCATATCTCCTCCAAGGAGCAGTTCAGCACCCTGCTGACGAAGTCTCGCTTTGTTGTCGCGGACTGTAAGCTGCAACCATACCCCTCATTCCTCTGCGTCACCCCACCCCAGCTTCCAGACCACCTACAACGACAGCTGCTAACTGACATTCACAGTCTACGCAGACTGGTGCGGACCATGCAACGCCATCGCCCCTGCCTACGAGCAGCTGGCAGCACAGCTGTCACGCCCGAACCGAATCACCTTCACCAAGATCAACGTCGATCACCAGCAGGACATCGCTAAGGCCTACGGAGTGACAGCGTACGTCCCACACCCAAAACACCTTCCAACCGTACTAACACTACAAAAACACACACAGCATGCCCACATTCATCGTCTTCGAGCGCGGCCGTCCAACCTCCACCGTCAAAGGCGCCGACCCCAAGAAGCTGTCCGAAGTGGTGCGCAAACTCGCCTCCGAGGCCAGCAAGCCCGACGACGGCGGCGAGGGTTCATCAGGCGGCTCCGACGCCGACTGGACCGGGCTGGCCGCGCCGAAAGGCTACGCCGACATCACGGACCAGTATGATCCCAAGGGTCTGGAGCTGCTGAACCGGGACAGCGAGTTCGGAACGGCCAAGACACTCTTCGAGACGTCGAAGCCGTCGGCGCTGAACAACGGCAAGGGAACGGCCAAGGACTGGGTCGAGAGCGATACCGACGAACAGCTGATGCTCTTTGTTCCATTCCAGTCGACTCTCAAGGTGCATTCGCTGCAGATTACTTCGTTACCCCCCAGTGACGGTGACGATGACGACGAGGTTCCCATGCGCCCGCAGACGATTCGGCTCTACACGAACCGCGCGCATGTCCTGGGCTTTGACGAGGCGGACGACATCGACCCCGCGCAGACGGTGACTATTCAGCCCGAAGATTGGGATAAGAAGACCGGGACGGTCAAGATTGATCTGCGGTTTGTCAGGTTCCAGAGGGTTACGTCGCTGGTTGTGTTCTTTGTGGATGGGGATGGGGACAACGACAAGCTGCGCGTGGACCGGATCCGTATCTTTGGCGAGGCGGGCGAGAAGAGAGAGATGGGCAAGCTTGAGAAGATTGGTGATGAGCCTGGCGAATAGACCTTTTTCTCGATATGGCAAGAATACCTTAGACGTGATTACGATTCTACAGAAGCAATATTGACCGAAAAACTTTTTCATTCATTCTTTCTTTCTAACTATTGACAATCCGGTAGATCCCCCTCCAAGTACCTGGCACTGCCAGGCGGCTTGATGGGAGGCCTAAATGGAAATGTCCGATCCCAAACCAAATGGTCTCATCCTTAGAAGATTCAGAAAGACCAATAAAGTAGAACCGGCGTGCAATTTTCTTTTCTCTGTGACGCAACTGACACTTGGTCACATCATGGGGGAAATATGATGTCCAAGCAACACGGGTGAAATAGTAGTTGCGTCGCCGCACGAAGAAAGAAAAGAAAAAAAATTCTCAAAGAATCGCAGCATCGCGAGATATTTATCCTGTGGTTTTTCGGAACCGGACTTACTCTCCCAATCCATGCTGGACTAATAGCCGAGAGCCAGAATTAGGTAATGTGAATGCTTACATAAGAGCTTGATATGAAAAATTTTCTTTCGCTTTTTTTTTTTTTCCCCTTCTTCTTTTCTATAAACAAATAAAGGCTTATGATGAGACAATTGGATGTTAAACATATGATAGGAAGAGACTGATTCCTGCTGGGAATGTGATCTCAAACTCCATCCACTGAGGCCTTTTTTTTTTTTTTTGTCCTTACTTTGGTTTTTCTTTGTTGCTCGCTGCTGGGCACTTCTTGTCCTACCTTGGTGCTTTGTGGGCATTGGACTTGGGCGGTGCAAGGTTTTGCATTTCGATAAAGAAATGTTTGTGTGGTGTTGGTAGTTTAGCGAATAGCAGTAGTATGCCTTCGGTCCTGCGTAGTTATGCATGTCGATAATTCCGAAGGATATGTGCCAGTTGCCGAACCAATATGTTCATGTTTCCATGACGAACGCCGGTTAATCGCATTGCGTCAGCGTATGCTCTCTATCGCGGTTAAATTGCACCCTTGTACCAGATGTCGTCATTTCCGCCTGCGTTGGTCCCCGATATCCATGGGTCTCCCCGATTCAGATTGACAATCTACGGAGTAGGGACCTGGTCGTGCACGAGCTGTAAAACAAGACTCGCTAACGCGGGAACCTGAGCGTCGCTCCTCCCGGTACCGACGAATGCTTCGAAGCCATCTTTTTTTATCTGTGATCCATAGTTGGAGCCGAGCAACCATCGTGAACCACGGGCCGAGTATGTCGCGGCGAGATCTGAACCGATCATGTCCTCGTATCGGATCTGGGTGCCCCCATCTGGTCAGCTGGGATTCTGCCCGCCACAGTGTTTCATGTATCCAGACTCCACCGTCCACCGCTGGTACTGCGAATCGTAGATTGAGGCTCTCCACGGACGAGAGACGGAGGCGATCATGGATAACGGAGAGGACGGAGATCGGAAATGCGAGGGCCAGAAAAAATTATCAAATTCTTCATCGCCCCTGGCTGCACATCTCCTCAAGCATGGTTGCATTGGACCCACGACGGAGGGTGCACCACGGGAAGGTCTCACGGTGAGACGCAGCGATCAGTCGGGCCAATCCTTCCATAGGTAAATCCAGTGATAAGTACTCCGTACGTGGAGAAATAGTGCCTCTGGAGTAAAATTCTATCCAGATAGAGTTTCAGTCTATGTCGGCGCTATTTTCGTCCAGCCCTCGACCAAAGCTTCCAACACACTGCAAGAGGTCAATCTAGCGATGGCGGGCTTGGGATAGTACCACGTCCCATTCATGGTTCGGTGGGCTCCAATGACCCCAACGTCGTAGAGATCTTGAAGGTTGGTTTTAAAGCGTTTCCATGACCAACGACCTCGTATACCGAAGTGTAGTGGCAAGTGGCAACGTGATGAAACTCTGACCTGAGCTGGAAGGGAACTCGTGCGTGAAGATCCCTGAATTTATTGTGTTCTCCGCATCTTCTAAATAGGCCGAAAGTCAACATGAAATTGGCTCATTCCAAATGGAAGGTGTCACTCTCTGCAAGAGTCAATAGTGAGAGTTTCCCCAACTCTGGGACTGGGTGGTTAGGCGAAAACCTTGGTTTGCGTGATTTCACCAAGTAGTGACACCTCCTTCCCGTCTGAGAATAAGCACTGGGGGAGAACCGTGGTCACTTTTGGTACTATGCAATCATGATCAGCATAATAGAGCCCACGTTCTCTCTCTTTTCTCCAACTCCCAGCGGCCCGCATATACCGGACAGGGACTAGAGTCGGACACTCGAACCAATCCTCTCGCTTGAGGCAGGCCAGGTTCTCCAGATTCAGGAACCGGAAGGCTTGGCCCGGTAGAGCACTTAATTTCTGCACAATCACATTATTTGTCCATGATCTTCTCATACGGAGTAGCGTTGCGCCGTACTCCGCAGTTGACCGCGATAGCGAGTCATGATGCCATGGAATTACCCAATTGGTTAGACAATCATCGCATACCAACGGTGTATCACGCACGTGCTACTCTCTCAGCCCTTCTGCAGTCCACTGCCTAGGTTAGTTGGTTCAATCTGTTTGACTTTTGCCGCTGGAGATCGACACCACTAGTTGGTCCTCCTGCTGCAAAGCTCCAGGAACGGAACCCAAATCTGCGCGCCACGGGCCTCTTTTTGCTCTATTCCCTCAATATTTGACAGTATTGGCCGTGGGAGTTATTGTCCTAGCTCAAGTGCCGGGATATCCCCCACGGCACTAAGTCTAGGAAGATTTGGAAGCCAATGGAAGTCGGGAATGCACACCGCAGGTTCCGGAATGAACCCAACCCAACAAGCATTTCGCCAGACAGGACACCCACCGGCTTAGCACTATGCATGCAGCTGCATCTCGGGTCGAGGAGTGGACACGGTGTACTGTTGGTCCCCGCAAAACCACTGTCGCTCGTCGGTTCTCGGGTCCAATCTGATCCCGGGCTATAGCCATGGGGAGTATCTTGGCAGCTATCATTACCCAAGAGGAAATGAGGGATTTGGCATCCTTATCGATATCGACTGTGTGTGGAGTTCTTGTTTGGCTCTGAGAGGTGTGGGAAGTTGGTAACATGAGAGTTTGTAAACCTAATAAAAATTCTAACCCAAGTGCTATATTGTCCTAGTGTCAAATAAGTCTCGTATCGAGAAAAGAATGCCAAATGGAACGTTCTTCGAACGTCTTGGCATGACGACGAGGATCCTCTTCGTATAGCTACGTTATGACGGTTTCAGAAACGTCATTTGGAATTTCCAACCAACAGCTTCAAATAGATAGTGCTCCGGACTTCGCTGGTGGCGGTGGTTCCCCTGATGGTACCTTGTACGTACTACTAGTAGGTGGTAAGGTATCTCCATTGTCGAAGGGAAACTACTAAGCGACTAGTACGCCACCGGGGGGGTACCGACAAAGATGATTGGAGGATTAGCGGACGCGTAGTCTGTTTCAGATGTTGAGCTTCCAACTTCCGACGAAAGTCTGTCCACAGAACTGGGTACCTCTTCCGAGCGAATGGGTTTGGAAACCTTCAATATTTCCGGAAACTGGCCTAATTGACGGTCTTTCCCGACTAAGAAGGTACCTTGCTAGCTATGCCCCACCGACTAATATATGTGTGGCTGCGGCTAAGATAGTAGATCGTTTAGGTAGAACAAAGACTGAGCATATGATACTGTGTAAGGAAGACCAGAAATTCCTTATCGACTCCGAACTAGCAGTAAGACATTTCGGTGTGAAGGGAAAGAGTAAAAAAAAAAAAAAAAAAAAAAAAAAAAGTGCGCTCCGTTAGGGCAAGTAACCGTATCTCTTGGTATTTCCGTATTAAGACGTTTCAACAGTGCTTCCATAATGATCAACATAATTGATCGTGCCATCAGTTATAAACGACCAGATTCCAAATCAGCTAATAGTTTTCCTTTTTGAGGACTACTCGAAGTCCACCTTCAACCATTGCATGATACGCTTCACTTTCCTCAGTAATTAATTTGCCATCACTAGTGATCCACACCTCCTCCTCGAGAGTGGGTGCTTGTACAGTCTCATGAGAATGAGTGATGCCTATGTATCTTTCCTTATTTTTTCCCCCACGGTCCTCTAGCCAACCGAGTTCCGGTCAATGTCATACGTCCTAAATTTGGTACCGAGCCACTGTTGAGTCGTTTACATCGAAGATTCGGATGCTGCGGCCACGATAAACAGCCTAAGGCATCAAGATACGGATACTCTCAGATCCCACCTTTCTCGTACCACGCTGCTGATTCGCCGGGGGAAGCCGCTCCTTCCCGTGGCCTTCAGCACGGTCGCTTTGCCTCGCGATGCCTAATCAATTATTCATGCCCACACTTGGACCCTACCGCGGATGCGCGCCATACTCCGTCTTGAATCCACAGGTGTCAACGTCGCAAAAAGACGCTGTTCCGTTGGCTTGGACCTCCGTTCATCTTAAACCAGTAACGAGCTGTTCGGTGGCATTCGGTGGCAGACCGAGAATACGCCATGAGGCGAGACAACGGTCGAGACTATTTGATTTTAGTTGACAGTTTAGTATCATGATATGCTGTTGGTGTGGAGTCGCTATGGACCTGTCACCGAGCGTCCAGACTCGACGCTCTCGAAGGTCGCCTCCCGTTTCTGAAGTGATATTCTGAATCGATATGTGTGCGACGGATTAACCGCGCTGTTGAAGAATCATGATCGTCAACGGCGAGGTCACTCTAGCTCGTACACCGTACTTTGTGGGGTTGAACCAAGTTGAGTCGCAATTTCTTACCTGTCAGATTGAGAGAATGATCAGAGCCGTTGAGGTTGGTTTTGGTTTTGGTTTTCTTTTTTCCACTGTACTCCGTTTTGCTTTTTCTTCTCTTTGTGCTTACTGAACACATCACAAAATATTTTCTTGGTTTGTTGTCTGTGCGACAACGGTTTCTGCGGTGGCAAGACAGGGGTTCACTGCAAGCCCTCGAGAGATGATGGCTATCTGCTTACGTCGTTAAGTCCGTTGGCTGTTGCAACGTCGTGATTGTCATTGTTGATTAACTTCCGGCCTTCAAGCACTCTGTAATTTCGGGGTACTCTTCGGCCTCTGCGATGGAGCAGCGTGGGGTGCAGTGGCAAGCACTAACGGAGTAGTGGTGGTTTAACGCTCCTCCGTTGTCTTCTCGAAGGTCACCAATTTCCTTCCATGCATGATTTAAAATTACATGGACGGAGACTCTAACCGGAGTCGGTATAACAAGTTAACAACACCTCGTCTAGATGGGGCTTTCAGAATTAATGAATATGCCACCATGTTCTTAGGGTGCTCTAGACGACCTGCTACTGTACGGACGTTAGTAGCATCGTACGCTATATACTAAACCTGCGGAGATGGTTTTATCGCGCAGTCCCCTAAGGGTTTAGTGACGTTGCGGCAGTCTCCGTTTCCAACCATCGGAATATCAGGGGACTCCTTAACACCGACTTCTGCCATCCAATCGCCCACCTTGGACAAAAGGATAAAAGTGGCGCCGGGGTTAGGGGGGTTGCAACCAATGATCCATCCCGGATGGATTCTATCTTTAGATGGAACCAATAGTGGCCCGGCAAACCCCTCTCTCCCCCCAAACTTTATCACATCCATATGAATGCCTAATAAAAGAATAAATTGAAATTCATCCATGAGCGAGAGATTCACACGAAGTTTCGGGAAGGAAAGTCCCGAAGGGAAGGCTTGGGTGTTACCATGGCAAGTAATTTAGCCTTTCACCAGACGGCTGTTTGTTGTTACACGGCGGTCTGGCTCTTGGGGCTTGCGTGTTTCCCGAGGGAAGAAATCACTGGCTAAGAAAAGCTTTGATCTAATTCGGGCTCTTGGCTTGCATTTGACAGCTCTGACCGTGTCCCTTGCTTGTGGCGCAGCCTGCCAGTGTTATCTGTAAATCTGGTTCATCGCGTTTGTTTCGGATTTCATGGATCGACTACTTGCTTGTTTTTTGTGTTTGGGACTTTGCATGAAGGGTAAGTAAGGATGGGGGTCATAGTTTGTGGGTGAATGCGCAATATCGGTCTGCAGGTGTTATGTAAGAAGTGACTCGGGCAAACAGGTCCCAGATGAATTGGACGATTCAGTTCGCGCCACTAGTACCTGTCGGGTTGACTGATGCCAATCAAATGCAGTCGAAGTGACCAGGATGAGGGTCAACAGCGAACCATTGTACTCTTTTCCAATAGATCAACCAATTTTTATTACCACATAATTCTATTTTGACAGCTCGGATGGTGTAACCTGAGTTGACGGCAACATCCAAGCGTCACTTTTGAGCCCGATCAAAGCAAGGGTTGAAATCTTTTAGTAGATGCTGAGTCGCGCCAGGGCTGCAGGCTGCATTCTCCGCACTTGTTCCTGCAGTAGGCTTAGGTGAAGCTGATCAATCATGTATCCAGTAGCCGTTGAACAGGTCGAATCGCAAATGTGAGCAGCTCTTTGTTCTGAATGGTTAAGGTTATAGTGCTTGCGCTATGGGTTGGTGGCTCAACTCTCATTTTTAAGGCGAGTGAGTCCAATGGTACTGGGATCCAGTACCCCGGTTGAATTACCCTGTTCCGTACATGACATGTAAGAGAGAGGGCTCAATATGACTACGTGCCTTATGCAGGTCAGCATCTCATGAGAAGTTGCCTAACTGGATCGTCCTATGTAAGCGAAGTCAAAGCGTTTCGTTCCTCGGCATCAGTACTTTGTTGGGAGAGACTCGAAGGGGAGATGGCGGTATGAAGATGTTCTCCTCCGGAGTCAGTAGGGCAACATGACTCCAATCTGACTAAGTTCATATTGTCCGTCGAGACACCCACACACGCGCTCTCATGTAAGGTACAGGTTGTAGCACACCACCATGCCACTATTTGATACCTAGTAGTGGGGCTCAGTCAAGACCGTTTCACCATTGGTTTTGGTAGAACATAGTCTCTCTTCTCGAAGTTTGCTACGAGTTCATACTCTGAATGATACCACTGAGAAGCCTCACTCGGCGGACTGGTGTGTTGGTGACGTGATTTGGAAACGTTCCCATTCATCGCGGGCCCAAACTTCTTTTGCGACCGATATTCGGATTGACACTATTCCGTCATTTGACAACCAAATACTACATCTTCGTTACCCGCACACGCAGATCTTAACTGGAAATATGTAATTGACGGAACAAAAGAGAAAGATGAAGAGAAAGAGGGAAAAAAAAGCAAAGTGATGTTCATTATTCCTTTCTTTTTTCAATCATCGTCCTGTCGCCTTTGGGGTCAAATCCCCCAAATGGCGGACGGGACGATGCTCAGCGGGGCCGGCTAGGCTAGCCGGCGAGTCAATCCTCCCATTCACGCGCAGAGTTCATTGGCCCTCAATGCAGCTTCGGTGTACCCAGTCTTGCAGCCAACTTGCGCAGTGGGAGAAATGTCACCCATTATCTGGCCTATCAGTGACCCTCAGCCCATGGGATGGCGAGGTCGGATGTTCTTTACCCATTTTTTCCCTTTTCTTCCCTGGTGAGGGTCCCACCACCCTGCTTCCTCTCCTACGAGGCCGCCACCCCACTTTCAATTTACTTTTGCTAATGGCCACTGGCTCGATTTTGGACTCGCCCTCCCATGTTTGTGGGACAGTCAAGCCGCTGATAAGCCAGATAGGCAAAGACTTGAGGACGCAAGTCGGTTTCCCATTGGTAACGAGACTACCGATATGTATGGCACATCACCGTATCACTGTCCATCAATCACTGGTCGTCCCCCAGACTCAGATTATCATTGATCGATGGGAGGGATACGTTGATGTCTTAGATATGCGCGCGCGCGAACACATTGTCTTGATCTTTGCAGTCTGACTGGATTCAGAGTCATGAACGTGACTTCAGCTCTCGGGCAATCAAATGTTCAAACTCCTATTTTCAGGAAGGCAAATCATACTTCAGGTTTACTTTTCAGCCCAGGTCTCGGATAACAGTGGCAATTCACACACAACACACAATCAATCAGCTCGATGGTAGGACTGGACAGTAGGATTAGGGCATCAGTCCAAGGATTATTACCGATGATACCTAAATAATTTAATAAAACATCACATAGATTAGTATATTTTTTTTTATTTGTTTTTCATAGGACGGACGACCAACAACCTTTGTTATTATCTTACTACATGAGACATCATACTCAACACCAAATCACAGGAATAATTCCCCAGTCGGCATCCATCCATCATACTATATTATGTCAATGCGGTATTTGACCACGAGTGAGGTTTTCTCTTTTACTCCCCATCCCCATTTTTGTTCTCTTTCCCTTTTTAAATGGTATAGAACAATCTCCGCATTTTTTTGTTCTCGTTACGAAGTACTATTACCAGAACTATCAAAGTGTGGTATACTAAGTTGGCAAGAACCAAAACTTCCCAAGGTAAGGTACTATGTTGTATGTAACAAAATGGGGGTGTGGCCACTTTCGCTCTCTTTTTTTTTTTTTTTTTTTTTTTT